GAGTCAGTACAGGCCTGTACGAAAAAAGACGACGAAAAATGAATGATAGTTGACAGAGATACAAATGTGCATGTTTTGTTTTGTGAAAAATTGTGAAAAACCATCCCACTGCCTCATGAACACTCATTTGCGACTTGCACCAATAATAACAATTGACGAGAAAGTTATTACAAGCCCATTAAAAGAAACCCGATGAAAGACAAATGAATATTGACAGAGAAACTAATGTACATGCTTTATGTGTGGAAAAAACGTTCCACCTCCTCATACATGCTGATTCACGACTTGTATTAATAATACCAAATAGAGAGGGAGTTAATACAGGCCCATTTAAAGAAATCCGATGAGAAACAGTCAAGAACTGACAGAGATACCAATCCAGTGTCAGCTCTGCAGATGATCTGTGCATGGGAAACTGCCTCCAGCGCCCCACAGATGTTTTAAAAATATGTAAAAATATGTAATACTTGCATTGATAATATATAAGATAGCGTGCAAATTTACAGAGCATTTGATTCAGTAGCAAGCGAGATATGATAAATTATTCCATTAAATTTCACTTGGCACCCTCAGGATCACAGAATATCAAGTTTGGGTAATAATACAGATTGTAGGGGGCGTTGCATGCACCCATTGAAAAAAACCCAAAGAGAAATGAAGCAGAACTGACATAGATATGAATGTAGTGTTGGCTCTGCACATGGTCTGTGCATGGGAAACGTCTTCCAGCACCTCACAGATGTCAAAAGAAATTTAAAAAAAAAATCCAATACTTGCATTAATAATATATAAAATAGGATGCAAAACTATGAAGCCTGAATGATATTGAGCAGAACTATCAGATCCATGACAAAGAGATGCTTGTGATAGTCTGTGCTTTGGACAAGTGGAGGCATTTCCTGGAAGGAGCAGCAGAACCTTTCAAAGTCTTCACTGACCATCAAAACCTCTCCTATTTCCGGTCAGCCCAGAAACTCAACCGATGCCAAGCTCAATGGTCACTACATCTCTCTTGCTTTGACTTCACACTCACACACAGACTGGGAAGACTCATGCAGAAAGCAGATGCCCTGTCATGACAAGCAGACCACCCATGAGGAGAAGAGGACAACTCCAAGGTCACACTGCTATACCCCGATCTCTTTCGCATTCAAGCTATGGCAGCTATTTTGCTTCCAGCAGGAGGGGAAGAGCTGCTGCAGCAGATGAGGGAATGCAAGAGCATTGAGGGCTCAGTTGCTAGTGCAACCTGTGAGTTAGAATCTGGATGTGAAGTGCCTTCGGGGTGGGAGCTACATGAAGGGCTTATGCTCTATCAAGGGAGGATCTATGTCCCCCAGGACCCTCTTCTCCACCATGACATAGTTCATGCCCACCATGACACCCCAGTAGCTGGACACCCTGGCCGATGGAAGACATTAGAGCTTGTATCTTGGAACTACTGGTGGCTGGGGCTCTCTCGTTATGTTGCCAAGTACATATCTGGATGTGACACTTGCCAACAGGTGAGTGAAATCCTTCCCTGCTCAAAAGACTGGGAAGCTTAGCCAAACAAGGTACCAGATCAGCGATGGCAGGTTGTCTCCATAGATGTCATAGGAGAGCTCCCCTTATCATGAGGGTTCGACGCAATCATGGTAGCGGTTGATTGTCTGTCCAAAAGGATACATGCCATACCCACTGTTGAAGTTATCCTTTTCTTTCTATTCAATCTCACTCCATATGAGTCACATGACTACTGAGTCGGACTCTACTGTTTCTACTACTTGTATAAACACTAAAGTCATCCTCAGAGGTGCCATAACCTGAGTTACAACACCCACCACTACTCAGATGGACTCTGCAGGTGTAGCCCGCCTTTTCCTCAAGCATGTCTGGCAACACCATGGCCTCCCAGATGAAGCCACCAGCAACAGAGGAACAACTTTCATCTCTAAGTTCTCTCAGGAGTTAAGCAAACTCCTAGGTATTAAACCCACTCCATCCACTGCCTACCACCCCAAACAGATGGGCAAACAGAATGAGTCAACCAAGAGATTGAAACCTACCTCCGGGTCTTTGTGAACCACAGACAGGATGACTGGGCAGACTGGCTACCTATCGCTGAGTTTAGCTACAACAACCACATCCACTTGGCCACTCGCCACACACCATTTGAGCTTGACACAGGTCAACACCCATGCATGGGGATAGAACCCCCCAAGACTTCAATGGTGGAGGCAGCTGGAGACTTTGCATCATGGATGGCACAAATGCACAGGAGGCAAAGGCAGCCCTAGCACATGCAGCCAAGGAGATGTCGAAGTACTATGATAGGAAACGAGGTGAAGCACCTGAATACCATGAAGGAGAGAAAGTGTGGCTCAGTGCACATAACTACCCAACCAATCGGCCGACCAAGAAACTAGACCACAAATGGTTAGGCCCCTTCAAGATCCTGAAGATAGTCTCACAAGCTGCACTGAAACTCCAGCTCCCCAAGGGATACCAAATGCACCCCATTGTGTCAATCTCAGATGTTCATAAGTACCAACCAGATGAGATAGCAGGATGCCCTGCACACCCAGAACCGAGTCCCACCATCATTGATGGGAGTGAAGAGTATGAAGTGGAGAAAATCCTCGACTCTAAGTATATCCGTCACCAACTCCATTACCTCATCCAGTGGAAGGGCTACCCCAGTTCCAAAAATAGCTGGATACCTGACCATGATACCCAAAATGCACCAGACCTCATCACAGAATTCCATCAGCACCACCCTTCCGCTCCTGCCCCACATGCAAACTCAGCCACTCCAAGACATAGTGGCATAAGGAGGGGGTGATGTCAGAGTACAGCCCAGTTAAGTCTGGACTGCTTACACACAACTGATGACACACTTTCCCCAGACTGGCATTACCCACACAGCCTGATCATCATCCCCAGACTGGCACAGACATTTGTTATATTTCCTCCTGTAGAGTGGCCTGTCATATCCGTGCATACCCGATCCCAAACCGACTCCTGGACCTCCTTCTTAACCACCTCCGGAGTCCTACCCTACCACTGTCCATTCCGATATTCACCTTCGGTCCTGGCACCACACCTCCTCTCACCTCCCATGCCACCTCCACTCCTCCGTCCCTCTCCTATCCTATCTCCGTCCGCTCCGATACTCACCTCGGACCGAACACCACTCCTCTCACCACCCTCCTCCTACTCCTCCTCCCACTCCTCCGCTTCCTCCTCACAACACCTCCACCCTTCCGTCATCCTCCTACTCTTCTCCCGTCTGCTCCGATACTCACCTTTGGACCTGACACCTTTCCTCTCCTCCACACCTTTCCTCCTTCCTCTTTCCTCTCTCTTCCCTCTGGCCCTCTTCCACCGACCTCCCACCAAGTTATGACCTTCCGCCACTGTCCCGTACCTCGTACTCAGACACTGCTTGTACCTTTGCTCCGAGCCTCTGTCATAGCTCCTACCTCAGACTTTGACTCCACCTTGGCCTTAGTCCATTGCATTGGTGACCTCATACTACATAAACACCATTGCCAATATTCCTTGGACTTTCAACCCCACCTCCGTAACCTCCATAACCTCCACAACCTCCAAGCTCCATGGATCATCTTCGGCACTTTCGCTGCTTGCAATGTATCTCTCGCGTTTTCCCCTCATCCCTATTTGGACTGCTGCTTCTTCCCATTCTAGCCAGTTAGTCATCATCCCCACTTCCCCTCATCCTCCTGCCCCTCTGGGCTTCGCCCTCCTTACCTCCTTTCGGACGTACCACAGGTTCTGCCCTATGACCTTCGGTACCGCTCCGCTTCTGTCATCCCTTTGTTCCCGTTCAGACGTTGTAGGTGGGATAATCGCCCACGCGCAGCGCCGGCTCAGATACCCATTTCCACGATTAGAAAACCCCTTTTATTCATGCGACAACTCGGTACGGAATTGGTATCTAAAAATAGTGCTAATTCGTACGATTCCGACGATACCAAGAACGTCTCAATCGGTGGAGATTTGACAGAGTTCCATGTTGGAGAAGTTAGGCACAGCAGGTCACGGGCATGTGCGGGTGTGGGAATCTCAAGCAGCAACCCAGAATTCCAGCCTCACTCGTTCCCACAGCGTCTAATAAATTGGTAAAAATGCTCATTGGCTGCGTGAGAGTTATCTCCGGCTTCATTTCCAATTTTGGCCTTTAATTCCGTAAATCCGTTGAGATATCGCTTATTTTCTTATATTTTCATATTTTTGCATCATTTCAGTTATTGATCAATATTCTTTTATTGATACTGTCACCCTTTTTTATTACTTTGCCTAATAAGGTATGCAGGTGCCATATGGTACCAATATTTCCCATCAATTATTCTAAAAATAATTGTTCCTTATATCCTGTACATACCAGATTCTGGAATAGAAGTTCTCCCCTCCCCCAATTTTCTCTAAGGTGCTAGGACACGCTAGAGAGGGTGTGAGTGTGTGGAATTCCAACAGTAGGAATAAGGGCAGTGATCTAGTTCACAACGAGTGAGTAGTGGACACTGAGCCCGGACCTTGTGGAAATCCCGGAGAACCCACCGTGGAGTTAAGGATCGAGAGAATAGCGAGTTTAGTCAAGAAAGTAGGATTTTGGAGAGTTTGGCCCCACAAGCTGTGTCGGCATAGAGAGCTGCGAGCCCTCTTTCAACGTCTTTGTTCCGATTCGGACCCCCTTTGTTCCCTGTGCTTTTACCTCCTCCATTATATATATCAGCACTTGTACATACTCATTTTAGTCCTTAGTCTAAAATTGACCTGAAATGCCCCCTAGAGACTTCCTGCTCACCCCCTATGAAATTAAGGACCAAATGGACAAACAGCAATGGCACAGCACTCCGCTTGAGTCGCTGAGGCCAAGGTCCCTCCTTGCTAAGTCTCCGGTTCCCCTCCAGAATCGTCTGCCCTCACCCAGTTCTAACATGGCCCCACTTTCCCCTTGCTGCTCAGGTATGTTGTACATAGTATATACAAATGATATGTCCTCACTTCCCCTCACTGCTCAGCTGGAATCCCTATCACAATCCACTTTGCTGGGTTCCCCCATTGAGACTGACCCTGTCCCCCTCGGCCTCAGCTCCAGCAAAGGCTCAGGATCCCTCGACTTAGAGTCTGAGCAGCTCGGTACCCTGACAGGTGGCTCCCTCAAGGAGCCCCCATTATACCCGCTACCAGTACGCTCCTCAGAGTGCCAAGTTACCGTTAGCAGGTCATCACACTCACTACCAGTATGCTCCTCAGAGTGCCAAGTTACCACTAGCACCTGGCCTCAGATCTTCTCCTGCTCTCCTCCCAACAGCTATGCAGCCACCTCCACCCATGAGCAGAATGGCTCAGGTTGGGTTCCCTGGAACCCATTCCTGTAACAATCTAGGTTGAGACAGTCATAAGAGGTTGTGAGCGTAGTAACTTGCATAGTGCAATCAGCGACCCATGAGAGTCTGTGACCTGACTTTGCTGATGTTGTTGTGATCATAAGGTCCTGCCGGGTGTTTGCCTGCAACCTCACTAAATCATGGGCATCCCAACTCAATACAGATGAGGGAAATGTCCAATTTCCATTTTTGGCAGTCCCATTGGGACCTGATAACAAGTGCTCATTTCTTCCCTGAATTGTCAATCACATGAGTTTTGCCCGATATATGCGTTAAAATTAGATGCACAGATTTTTTCCGTGTTAGCTGTGATCTCTGTAACTCACCCTGTTGGCTGTGCTTGCTAGATGTTTATCTGTGTCCTGACACCACTTCTGCCTCTGCACTCATGAAGATTTTGACATGTCCTGCCAAGAGAATTGGAGGAATGTAAGGTCATTGGAATGAGGGGAAGTGTTGAAGTGGCATTCCAATGCCCTTTGTCATCGCGGTTATTGTTCCCTTTTATGGGAAGTTTTATTGCTTTAATGCTTTGGCCTTTGTTCCTTTGTGCCACTCAGAATGTATATAAGCGTAATGTGAGCTGAGAGCATGATATCTAATGACACTGTGATATCGTGCTCAGAGTGTCCAGCTGCAATGCCACAATTATAACAGCACACACTCTAGTGACAACAATACTGTCAGGGGACAACTCCTGGGTCCCCATGACCCTCCCCTATGGTCCACAGCCCTGTGGTGTAACCAGCCCTATCCAGGGCACAACTTACTGTGGGTAAGAAGATGATATAAAACAAGGGGCAAGTATGTACACTTGCCTACTGTGGGTAAGAAGATGAGAAGGAAGCTAACTTCTCATCTTCCCACAGTGGCCACCATATCAGGAAAACTTCCAGGGATACCCAGAAGTCACATGAAGGGGTAGGAACCGGGCCCAGAGCATGCGGCGTGCAGAGCATGTGCATGCGGGAAGCATGGTGGGTGGAAGCAGGTCCAGATCCGGGCTAGTCAGGGTGTGTGCCCTGACATCACCCTCCCTCTAAGCCACTTCACCCCAAAGTGGCCCTAGTCCCCAGGTAACCCATCCCTCAAGTGGTTAGAACAAAACAAAAGGCAGAGGTGGGAGTGGGAGCGGGAGCAGGGGATAATATAAGGGTGGAAGTATAAAACTATTCTAAGTTAAAAAAGTGGTGAAAAAATAAAAGTTAAGTTAAAAAAATTAAACTAGTCGTCCATTGCCACATATGCGGTGCTCCCCTAAGACTTGCCCAAAAAAAATTCGGGTCCCTCAGCACCCTCCATTGTCTGCTCACGACTCGGCGACCTCCAGCCTGCATCCCTCATCATCCCATGATGCCCCAGCTGCAGTTGTGTCGTCCCCATGATCGCATCCAGCCTCGGGGCTGCACCCGCTTCGGGTATGGAGGGTGGTCGTGCAGCACTTGACCTCTGGGCCATCGTCTGCATGCCTGCACTCTGACCTCTGGGCTGCACTCCTCCGGGTATGCGGGGTCAGGGGTGTGGTAGTGCTGAGGTAGCAGCAATAGTGGGAGAGTCCCAGGGGATCCGGCAGGGTCTGCACCCTGCTCCCCACCCTCCCTCTAATGCCACTTCGCCCTGAAGTGGCTAAACCTCAAAAAACCCCCCCTCCCCCCTCCTCTGTGCATGGTGGTCCGTTGCCTAGGATGTTGGGCTCCTCTTCAGGGGTGGATGGGAAGAATATGGAAGGGAAAAAATTTTCGGGGTGGGTGGTGGGTATGTGGTATAGTTGGGCCTGGGGCCGGGCGGTGCGGGGTTCGCGTGAGAGAAACAACTCTCCTCCAAGTGCCTCATGCACCTTGGGGAGTCCAGGTGCATGGACAGCAGGGTTGCTGTGATGCGGGCTGAGTGCCACCCTCCCTCTGCACTGCATGCCTAAGTGGCCACAGCAGGGGACCTAGGGCTCCTTCGTCAGCTCTTATCCATCACCTCTCCTGTCCATCCTCCATCAAAATCTTAAGGTTAAACTCTCTCCTGGGTGCCCGGCACTGCAGGGAGTCGGGTCTGTGAGCCATAGCGGGTCCGTGATGTGGCTGGGATACACAACCCTCCCTCTATGCCACATGCCTAAGCGGCCATAGCAGGGATCCTGGGCACCCTCACCAGCGGCATCCATTCCCTCTCGTGCTCGTTCTCCATCGTGAATCCAAAAAAGGCACTTGCATGTGCACACAACTCTCAGTTGCAAGTGAAAGCGGGGGTGGGTGGTCTCATCCAGGTTATCTTGGGCATCTGCAGTTACGAGGCTGGCAGTGGGTGGGTGACCCCATTTCCAGAGTGCTTTTCGGCCAGTTTGTTGGCAGCAGTTGGGTGGCTTTATCTCCCTAGCACATTCAGCGAGGTGTCCAGGTAGCAGTGGGATAACATGGGGGACCAGGTGGGTAGTCTCTATGTTATTAACACCAATATATGGTCTCTAGTAATCTAAATGGCCAGTTATTTTGAAAATTACTCTGTGGGATTGTGCTGATCAGCTGTCATCATCTCACTATCTCCCACATCCTCCATTTCTCGCCCTCTCCTGCGCTCAATTGCTAGCACCAGCTCTCTAACCTTGTCATCCTGATTTGGAATGCAACTGCTGAGAGGAACCAATGCATCTTGGAGCCTATATGCATTTAGCTGAGGCTTAGGCTGCCAGCTGCACGATAGTTGTCTTTGGGTTTCTTGCCCATTCTATGTCATTGGTGAGTTCAACCGCCTTTAATGCCTCGATTTTAGCAGTGTATTTGAGTTCCTTAAACTTCCTTTATCTGCCTTTCCCTCCTATTTTCTGCAACCTTCGCTATTCCAGCATCTGCAAGCAATTTTCTACAAGCTTTCTTGGATCCTGACATGCTGATAGGGGCTGTCCACAAGATCTTGTGGTGTAAGCTTTGCTGTGATGAATTCGTCAACAATTGATGCAGCTTTTTGATTATGAGAACGGCCATTCCTTTTGACCCGGTTCCGCTGTGAAGCCATGATACAATGGGATCCCTCATCAGTACCCAACCCCAGTGTGTGAATGCACTTGAAAGAGCAAAAAAGGCCCACTTTGCGCGCGAATTTGGGCTTCGGCAACTGCCACATGCACTCGATAACCACAAATCCCGCTGCCCAAATTTCTCCTTCATCTCATAGTGTCTTGACTTTACAGATGAATTGAATATATATTGTATTGGATGTATCTAGGAATCCGTAGGTTTCGTTTTCAAATCAATGGCATCTTTCATGTTTTTCACTGTGATTTCTCGCAATATCTCAACAAAGAAGCATATTCAAAACGAAAAAAACCTAAGGTGCACTGGTATAGGTCACCAAGAACACTATTTTGCAATCAATTGAGTTCTATATTTGTTGTGTAGAGAGTCAAATGTCCCACCGTTCCCAGCTTTATTCGCAATAGACAGCACAGCCACGGGTGGGTGAACAGTCGTCAACCTGAATTGCCGACCCCCAGATATAGGAGGCCTAAGGAATTGGAACCGAATCCATCGTTACCGATGCAGGTCCCCTCGAATGCCCTTTGCCTCGACCCCACCGAACGTTTGCCTTCAGACCTTCAATGTCAACCCCAAACGCCCATGCCTCCGCTGCTCGTTCGGCAGTCGCCCTGTCGCTAAAATTAACAAATGCACATCTGACAATGGAATGAGAGGAAATCCAAAAGAACGGGGAACGACTTGCCGATTCTTTGCAACATGTACCACCGACTTGATGGCAGCAGGCGAAATGGATGGTATTGCCGAGAGTAATACTGCCCGCAACGACGGCTCTGTGATAGAAGGGGGAAGGGGGGAGACGAATAGTGATGTCTGCCGAGCACAATGAGCGGGCAAGTCCCCAAAAAAAAAACAGCGGCGCGAATGACGAACTATTGATGGATCCTCTGGGGGTGTCAGGCCTTGCTTAGCAGCAAAACTGGACAAAATTTTGCGTGCTACGGGATCATTACGCCCATGATACCTATCCTGGACATTCTGACGCGATAGCTCGTCCCGTTGAGGCTTCTCATGTCTACCCAGGGAACCATGAGAACAAAAACTAGTGTTGTTTGCTTAACGTGCCTGTAAGGGCATTCCGCTCCACGATTGCATTCGCCCTTCACAAAGAAAGAGCAAATATGAGGTCGATTCCGCTTGTAATAAGGATCTGTGCGAGCTAATTGCTTAAGCATCTCTTTCGCCGCAGAAGTCGAACGTGCCGCGTCAACAATGTTGTTGTTATCCTCCATCTCATGGGCGATGTTAAACGGTGGCGTATGCCAACAATAGACCAGGAAACATACTTTAGATTCGATATTCTGTGCGAAATACTCCCTGTTGATATCGCTACTTGGAGCTCCGCTTCTGATCGCCAGCGCGGTATCTCGAACCTGGGTGGGCAGATTATATTCGAGGTCCAATAAGCATGTTTGACAGACATTCTTGCTTTTTGCACATGTCTGACAGATCACCGTGATCTTATAACGCATACCGGAGCCGGGATTCCAACGAAAAATGGTGAAAGGACGTGCACACGTCCCGCAACTTCGTCCAAACTCTTGTTTAGACTGTACTTCGAGTCAGCCATAAACGAGGGAGGAGGCCAGTTGCAGCAGCATTTACCATCCGAACGAAGGCATTGTCCCCTAGACCTTCATCATTGTCAGGATAAATAAGCGTGTAGCAGGTAAAGACTCGCTCACATGTTTCACAGAGAATGGGGAATTCACCCTGCTCCCAGCCGGCTTTATTGATATCAGACTTGACAGACATAGTGCACGGCTACCTGATGATGGCATAATAAATCACAACAGAATTGCTGCACCAAACACTCTTGCCGCTTACAAACAGTACTTGGTGCTTGAGTTGATGCAGGTTGATGCACGGTCAACTCCGAACTCCCGAGTCACGTATGCTGACACTCCGAATGTCCACGTGACTTGGACAAACGATACCTATATTTATGATATTGTAATATGGCATTGCTGATTGGCAGACCGCATTACATAATCTTACCAGAATATCTGCTTTATCTGTAAATCCAATTTACTGTCTTATGATTAAGTCCCGTGGTGCCGCGGGCAGCCGAAAGCACCCCTAGTCCTCATTCTTCCATGTCATCTACAGCGCAGCAAGAAGCGGAGGCGCTCCTAAAGGACATTGACCAGCTTCCAATCCCTCCAACTAGCAGCGTTTCGGTGACGTCACAGGGTGATGCTTTACAAGCTATTGAGTTCCTGGATCAGATCACTAGAGTCGACCCACCCAAGTCAAAACTCGTTTCAACTCCACCTACCAGGCCGGCATCGAGGGCGACTGAAAGAGTCTCTCTGCCAACACTGAGAGCGAAGTCTGCTGACTCAAATGCATCCTCTCTGCAAACTCCTGAGCCCAGCAAGCCTGAAAGCACCGGCGGATGGAGTTGGGGCTCCTCGGTCTGGTCCGGTGCCTCTGCTGCTCTTCAGCAAGCAAAGTCTGTAGTAGATGAAGGAGTAAAAAGCATTCCTAGCGTTCACCGACCGCAACAACCCCGACATTGGCGAGAAGGACTATTTGAATATGTTAAAAGTGGGCATTTGGAGAAACTAGGTATGCAAAAATTATAAATTGTAGATGTTAGCCCCGTTGAAGTTATTCCAGGCCAAGATATAAAGACCGCCTCCTTGTCCACTCTATCTGACCTGCTCAGTGTTGTAGCTCCACCTATCGCTGAACATGAAGTGATTCATGTATGGCTAAGTCACGACTTGGAAGGGTACGATGGCGTTGAAACATTGGTTTATCGAGCTCTAGCGAGGGTATGGTCTCATCTCCATGCTGCTTAGCTCTGTGCACGATTATCCGTTAGATCCTAGAGCAAGTGGAGGGCGGCGACCTCGTGGTGAATAGAGGGAACGAATCCAGACCAAAATCTGAGTCGACACGTCGGGAACTTAACGCTGCCGACAATCTTGACATCGCCATCAAATTGGCTGAGGTTAGTAATACCTTTTTTTTCTCTTGGATACCTTTTCAATATTCCCAGGCAAACATAGCTGAACTTGTTCAGACACACATGAGTTCACCTCAAGTTGTGAAATCCCACCTGTCATCAGAAAATCCAACCGTTCACTCTACAGTATATCTCCGAATTCAACCTTTCATTGCCCCTGTGCCCTCTGGGCTGTCAATTGCTGCAAACCCTAAAGGTCCGTCCAAGTCGGAAAGCCAAGTACAGTTCCATCTCTCCATCCGAGATATTTCCCATTCACTTCAAGTTCGCACAATTACTCAACCAATCCCCATCAAGTGGTTGGATCTGTGGGACGAGCACGATTGGGTTGAAGACCAATTGGCTGAAACACTTCGACTGGGGGTGGAGATCGTTGGGCAGGAGTACCTTGTGGCAAGGATGGGTTGGGAACCTACAAACAAACCAGACAAAGATGAGGATGCCTACGAAAGAGTAGATCAACAAGAGAGATTAGTGGATTTATGAAGAGACCAATGCTAATATTGGTACAACACGGATAGTGAATGAGACGATGTAATTGTGACGCTTAGAAAACTTGCCCACTCATTTCGTCCACAGCTTCAATTCGACATTCTCGCCAAACTGCACCCCTTACTGCCCTAGACTGCCCAAGCCCATCCCGGATCTCCTCTAATCTACTGGTGTATTCTTTCCCGTCATCAGCAAGCTCTCTCAGCACGCCTATGGCCCATTCGAGACTTTCCAGCTGACTGGCCGGCGAGAGGAGTGTGCGCGGCTCGGGTCCCAATGGTATATCAGACGGTGTGACGAAAAGTCTGTGCAGGGGCGGAAGGTGGGTAATCCGTCTGCTTTCCTCATTGTCGTCATCTTCGGGCCCCGGGGACCGACCGTTATCTTCATCTGTGTGAACAATCTCATTCCGATATATGTCCCCCTCCAAGATACGCCACAAACCCCCAAATGCCTTCCGAAGCCCTGCCTCACCGGCAATAAGCTCGGTTGCCGTGCTACTCAGCTCGTCAAAATTGTCAGACGTGAATGTGTGTTGAATAGCAGGATCAAGAACGAATGACGTGAAGTCGCGGTGAACAGAAAGAGACAAGACATGTGACGCTGTTAGAGGGGGTGTCTGGGATCGTAAATGAGGCAAAGACTTGTGCTCCGGCGATGGAGATTGAGACTCAGGCATAACCTGACGCAACCGTTTGCGGGCCCGTTCTTCGGACTAGTCGTTGGGTGAATGCGAATTAACGAACACCATGATGATCAACTTACATCCCACTCGGATCGCTGTGGCCCCCATCTGACTATTTTCAATCGTTTGAGCCAACGAGCATCTGACTTCAACTTGTTTCCCCAGTTCCCTCTACTTATCTCGGCTTGAGATGTTGTCAGTGGTCCGTCATCTGAAGATGCTTGTAAATCAACCGCTGTTCTGGCCTTCGGAAAGTACCACTCGTTTCGGTCATTAGAAGGAAGGAGGCTGTTTGGTAGATACGTGATAGATCGTTCCGGAGATCCAGGAGGCACGAGCTTACCTGTACTCCTCGAAAAGTTGAGGGTGTGGACGTTTTCTGCCCGCCATTTCGGCAAAATCGTATTCAGCCATTGGTGTGTCTCGGCGCGAACGTCAGCAGCGATCAGGTGACGTGGTGACAGTATTATTTGTGACAGCATCAAAAAATAACGGGCCTCGACGATGAATGTGATAGTTCTGCTACCATAGCGAACACCCTAAACCTTCACGCGGTTGCCCCTGTTTAAAACCAATTAGGCCTCTAACATCTAAAGGGAGGATGACGTGGCCACCGTGGTAATGCCAATCAACCGCAACCCCGTAAGCCCAGAGCCGCACTGGCTGGAGAGATGCACGAGCGCGGGCTCCGTCAAGCCAACCCTTCCTTTTTCTTCTCACCACTACCTTTTTGGGATGACGAGCGCGATAGTGGCAACGCCAATGGTGACCTCCGTAAGCCCAGACGGGACTGGCCAGAGGACTGTGGGTTCAAGTCCCACCGTCACCCCAACCCTTCGTGATTCTTCTCTTCTCCACTACCTTTTGGGATGGTGAGGTGCAATGGTGGTAGCGCCAATGGTAGCCTCCATAAGTCCATGGGCAGGCAGGTTCAAGTCCTGCCATCACCCCAACACCCTTCTTCCTTCTTTCTCCACTACCTCTTGGGATCATGGGGCGCAATAGTGGTAGTGCCGGGAGGGCCATCACCCCAACTCACTTCCCCCCCACTTTCTCCACTACCTCTTAGAGTGATGAGGCGTGATAGTGGGAACGCCAGGCTGCCATCACCGCAAAACTTTCATTTCTCTCCACTACCTCTTCAACCGACGGCCCCTCCACCACATGTTTTATTGAACACATGAGCTGGAAGCCACTTAACTGCCATCCTAAACACTGAAGAACAGCCAACCGAGACATAGCCAAACCCTAGGCCTGGGGTATCAATCCAACAACACATGGAGCCTTCACCCAATTCACCCACAAGAACTGCGCCCACACACCCCACTTTCTTTGTCACCTTTCTGGGCTTACAGCAGCAAACCGCGCGCCCCCCGCACTGGGGGTCGCGTGTCTCTTCTATGCACTATTTCTTCACTATGCTTTCGACACCATTTGTTGCTATTCTCCAGTGCAGGGGACGCACGTCCTTATGTGTTATTCCTTACTCCGCTTTACCCTCCATACCACCTGATACTCGATGTCTCATCCACCCATTGACACTTAACTTCTCTCCATACTACTATCCAAACATTTTTCACCCGCGTCATTATAGTACGGCATATGCCGATAGGCACAGATACGTACTTTAAAATGAATACATCCATCCATCCATCATCAAAAAATAACACGTTCACTTGCCATATATTCATCTGTACGTTAGTAGCAATTAGCATGAATCTCCTAGCTGCGTGCCCACCAAGTGCCCATGAATATAACGCTCAGGATACCAGCCTCTATAGATAGAAGGTTCACCCTGCCGGAACTCTTGGCCACGCTGCTCCATTGTACTCCTCCAAGGTAACGCAAACCGCGGACTCGACATGATATGCACTAATATTCAGAGGCTAACAAAACAACTGCCGCACTCTATCCCGACCAAGAGGAAGCAACCAGACGTCTCAAAGTCAGCTCAGGCACTAGCCTGTCGTAATAGACAGTTGCGGAATAAAGGGCGTCGTGTGATGATCACTTCATCGACTGGTAACTGTATGGCGTCAAAATGAGTGAGAACCATATCCAAATAATGATTGAAAGAAACCAATCGTACCCCCCTCAGACCTTCCAGCTGATGAGGCGGCTTTGCCGAATTTCCCACAGCATCCTTCGCCTCAAATAGGGCATATTTTCTTGACGGAAAGCAAAGTCCTCTACTTCTTCCCCCCTACTTGCTGCTTCCATGAATTGGCACATAAACACTCCACAGTCGAACGCGTTCTCTTGCTGGGGGGTATCCTGATATATCGGTTGTTAGTCTCAAGCCAAAGCAATACGGTCCAACGGACGCACGGTCGAAAAATAATCTCGCCACCCATCGAATGAAAATCCGATCTTTTTTTTATCGATATGCTCCTTGTCAAGATAGTCTCTTAGAATCTATAATTTGGTATGAGGTCTTTGTTCATGGAACGCGAGAAATGGTGTGGCATACCTCGTACACTGAGGATCGACACCGCCCTAAACTATCAAAGTACTCGATACGTTTTCGGCGAAGATTGATGCAAGCGAAGGTCCAATGTGAATTCCCAAGATTTATGGGGATCAGTAACGCATCTTTGGCGAAGATATCCACCTGCACAAATTGTTCAGAGCTTGCTGGAATAAAATTAGTTGGCACCGCCAAACCTTCTTCGTCCATTTGTTCAACCTCGCCTTCTCGTATCCAGAGCTGGATAACTTCGAGTAGAAGAAGGTGTTGAAGTAATGAACTTGCAATGGATCGCCATGCTGCCTTTTCCTGTTTATGTCCCAATCAACGTGTGGATTTGAGTTGGAAGGAGAAAATCCGATATCGCTGAAATCCCCACGATGCCAACGCTCGGCCCGTTCCATCACCATAGCTCCATAGAAATTTATTATTTCATCATTAAGCCATTGACCAGGAGTCAGCCGTAACACGTCCTCCAGGTGAACTTGCTCTCGCCCACAGGAAGATATCAGGCCTTGCTTTTGTTGAAGCATTTTATCCACGGATGCTTGCGCATCCACTGGAAGTGACCTGGGGAGCTGAGCAACGTAGAGATAAGCAAGAGTATCGAAGGCTACAGGCGATAGAACAACTTTTCTTTTTCTCCGTCGGATTCGCAGTTCGATTGAAGCGTCTCTCTCCAGATCGTATAATCGTAGTTGCTCTAGAGCTGGAAGTGGGGGCCCTGGGCGATGACTGAGGTGCGCAAAATGCCATTACCTGGACAATAATATTTGAAATGCAAGGCCTACCATGACATGGCCTCTCTTGCCACCATTAACTTCTTATGAACGAAATTGGCATTCGTCAAATACTCAGAAGGGGAACTATGGGCTGGGACAAGCTTTATATGGGTGAGACGCCACAGTCGCTCGGCAATACCGAAAAACATACTGGGGGGTGATGCGTTGTGGAACTCGAGGAATGCTCTAAGGAGTTTGAGCTCCGCTATGCGCGAATACACCACAAGCCACTCACTTGATAGGATGTCAGCGCGCTCTAATTTGTCTATTTGTTGATTGTACTGTCTGAAATCTAAAACTAAAAGGTAAATACCCACTGGAAAGGCACTATGTGCGTGTATTTTCGCACCTTGATATTCTTGCTCTCTGGCTCTATTAAATGGGCTAATTTTCAGTGCATACAACTCATTGAGTATATTCTCTTTCACGCTTGCTCGGTGCTTAAGGGCCATAAGTTGGAGCTGTTGCAATGAAAATCGTGTACGCTCACTACTGAATGATGAATGTGTCTTCTGCGCTTCTTAGTTGCTCCATGAAACGATATCGGCTTTCTAAGCCCGGGATAACCCATCACTTGCGTGCGACCATAATTCCTCGGACGGATTACAGAGTTCAATTTGGGGGTCGTGTCCCCTAGTCGTGGATCGCTGGGTGCTAAAGAAACCGAGATATGAGTAAGACCCAAGCACTAACCAAGGTGACGTACGAAACGACAACGTAGGAGTACGGGGGGCGACAAGAGAAGATTCGGTGGCCGATAGGCTAGGTGATTTTATGACTGGGTAACATTATGATCAGTAAATGCATATATTTTTCATGAGCTTACCAGTGGCACTTGAACTTGAGTTTGAAAACTTCGCATTCCGCCATAATGTCCAGATGGAAGTCCCAAGGGAAGCCCACGGGGTAGTGTTGTTCCGTTTTGCATCAAGAGACATCTCGTCACCTACGAGCCGTCGAGGTGACCGTTGTATTTTCGTTGTCTCCATACAGTGGACCAAATATGCAGTAACGCACTCGAGGTCGATATCTGTGCCAAATCGCGGTGGAGGCCAGCCAGTGCCGAGTGCCTAAATTCAAGGTCGTGGAGCACGTGATGGCACTGAGCACGAAAAACATTGGAAAAACAAGAGATCGAGCAAGAACAAGAAGCCAATTAGGTTGCGACCTGTGTTGAGTTGAAGAATTGATCTTCACTGGTCAAATGCCTTTAAAACACGCGCCGGTACTGGGGTCTCAAGAAATAACATGAACCGTCCGCTATGTCCGTTCGGGGTTACGGCTTAAAAATCCCCGCGAGCTTCAACTGCCGCACCTAGATCGTCCCGGGCTGGACGGCGAGAACGTTGCACCAACCGCATATCGCGCCCGCCATAGTATCGTACTCGCATACTGATCGTCTGCCCATCACAGTCATGTCGTATCGCTCGGTTCACTATGCCTGGATCGAATCCCTTTTTGTGTTGCAAAGTAAACAATTCGGTCTTTGCGATAGGTGAAGCTCATGACCTTTCGGCAACTACGATCCTGTACGTTCACCTTGCGGCGCAGGACCCTGGTCGTAGCCCCAACCTCTCTCCAGCCAAATAGTCGGATCGTGCATTGTGAACACCCCATCATTTCCTACCGCGTGTCAGACACCTATCCATCGGGCTAACCAACGCGTACCACCCATTTCCTTCCATCGCGTCACCATAATTCCCTTCCAATCGCGTGGTTATGTTTGCGTTAGATTTACTCTTGTTGGTATTACGATGGCCTTGTTTCTTATTACCAGGTGATACTCAATTCGGAAGTTCTGCGCCTGTCAGGGTTGTCTTCCCCATTTCGGGCACACAAACTGCATTCACATGCGTACAAGTTGATTTGCGAAACGCTCATAAACTGGAGGCTTGGGCGTTGATATCTCAGTCGCCGTCTTCATCACATCTCCAGAAACAGCTGGCAAGACCCTGCAGCTGAGTGTGTGTCTGCATGCATCATATTGAACGTGGCAATTAGGCCTGAGCATCAAGCAACTCATTTCGGAAGTCACAAGCGCGCGTAAATGTTTCAGGATGCCGGGTGGGGGTCGCACAAAGTATGCCAAGGTCTGGAATGATACAAGGGCGAAAAATGGTTGGCGTGGGTGAAGACAGCCTAATCCTCCACGTCGCAAATTAAAGCACGCTCGAGGATATACTTGTCTTCTTTGTACTTCTGGCTCTCCACATGGGCTTTGTCCTGCGAAGAGTTGGAAGGTGAGAAAGGGAATTGAAGGCTGCGTTTACTCACGAACGTATTTCCAGCCAACAGTTGTGCCGCACTTGATACAGAATACATCACGGACGGTGTGAAGGCCCGTTGTCATATGACGTTCGGAAGGATCGCCCTGCTCAACGTTCACCCTTGTCAAGAACGAAATGATAAGCTAGCACTGAATCGGATAAGACACATCCAACCTACACCATATCGAACAAGTAAGCTCTGCCATGCTGCCCGGTGAAGGCCTGCCCTGGACAATGCATGTTAGATGAAAGGCATTATTCATTGGAGCGACGCACCCTGGAGAGGACGCTGGAAACAGTAGCAAGATGGGTGTGGCACTTGGAACAACCAAAGACACGGACATCGGACAAGTACTTCTGGTGTATTTGACCCATATAGATAGCTTAACTAGATCGTTGATGAAGTTCGATGGTTTTCGGATCACGTGAATGGCGATGCACCACTGGAGATAAAGGGATTTACGTCAGCTGAAACTCCTCCCCAAAGAAAACTGATTAAATTGGAATTTGCAACTGGCTGGGGAAGTGCTCCATCGTATATGTAACTGGAGTTTCGCAAGAGGGAGGAAAGGACAAAACACGAAGACACGAGTATCTACACTCCTCCCCGCATATCTATCTCGTTCAGGCAAAACAAGCCTTAAATTTCCCCGCCCAGCATCGACTCCCACATTCCACACGGGTACCCCAATCAAACGCAATGAGCAAGTTTACGCGTTTTGTCTCGCGCAACAACGTGCTCACCCCTCAGTCTTTTAGATTCCACCTTGACCATGACTCCTTTATCCCCTCTCAACCCCGCAGCCACGGGTGTTCGAGCATTCAATCCCCAGACATCGTCTCGTCACCGACCACATTTCCCTTCATCACGCCCATTACGGCCGTTTGGCACAACAGCGAAGAATCCCTCCCGACCTACTAAAATCATCGAACCCCCAAAAGGATTCACTACTGGTTTTTTCGTGGTCGACTTAACCAACGATGAGTTGGCACGCAGGGCGTCTTAGTCCCTAGTACCGCAGCCTGCCGCTCCCCTCTAGCCCTCAAGACGTGTCGTGCATTCGGTTTACTCGCTGTTTGATCAATGCGAAGTCTTTCTCGTCATGTTGCCACAAATAAACCCATGTGTAATTTTGTCTCGGAATGAACAATCAGATTCCCTTGGTCACCTCCGTTCTTTATAGGGGAGTTCACAATGAGTCTGCGTACAGGTAAGACGTGACTCTTATGCATATGAAACGGAGGTGGATACACAATTGCAGCACTGAGGATGAGTATTAGGCCGCAACTGATACAGGGATGACAACACGATTGTTCAAATTGCAACAAGTAAGCAGGTGTCAGCATTCAATCGTCCCCATAGCACAGCCACCTTGACGCATCTTAACGCGGGAGCCTTTGAATATCGCTAATATCGCTCAGACATCTCCGCCAGTCTCTGAGGGCAGCCACAATGCGTTTTTCGGAAGCCATAGCACAATGGTCGGAACTACGTCCCTTTTTTGTTTTTGAATGCTTTCCTCCACGGACAGACCAGGCAATTTCCTTTGAGCTTCTTGCTCTGCTGATCGCTCATCCCGGTCCAATCATCAGGGTTTTGAGAATTTATTGAGCAGAGTTGGCCGGCTGGCCCAGCTAGGTCCTCTTGCCATTACTGTAACCTGGGGTGCTGGTGGCTCTACTAGAAATCGGAGTTTGGACCTCGCCGGGTTGTGTCAAAGCGAACACAACCTGAACGCCATCTTACACTTAACATGTACAAATATGGAAAAAGGGACCGTGGAAGCCACACTTAGAGTAGGACACAAAGACAGATCACGCATGAATGACTGATCCGATCTGTGATAGAGTGCCAAAGAACGAGGCATAAAGAACATTTTGGCTTTGCGCGGGGGTCTGTCTGGTTCCCATCGCACTATTCGGTTGAGCTGACAAGGTGCACTCAGACCCTCCCCGCGGTTCGGAATATTGGATTCCCGCTGATCCAGGCTTCGTCCATGCCATCGATCTAGTTCGCTATATCAAAACCCACAATGATTATGCGTCCCATTTTTGCGTTGGTGTTGCAGGTGATGTTATCTACTTGGAGAGGACGCCGTTTTCTCACGTGGCCTCGTAGGGTACCCTGATGGCCATGATCACTCTTTGACTCTGGATGAAGAGGTTAAGCACCTAAAAGCAAAAATCGACGCTGGTGCCGAATTCATCGTTACTCAAGTTTTCTATGATATTGACCAGTACATCCATTGGAAGAAAAAGATCGAGGACGCTGGTAATGCCATCCTTACTCTATATCAGTGTTTGCATTCAATTAAAAAAATCGTGGAGGCATTTCGGTACCCATCATTCCTGCCGTCGCTCCTATACAAAGCCATGCATCTTTCATTCGAATGACGAAACTATGCAAGGCCAAGGTGCCGGATAGCATGCGCGACGCCATCGAACACATTAAGGTGAGTCATGCCGAATATTTGATTCCAACTGCTTTCAATTCACCAAATTCTCATCAAGACCGACGATCAAAAAGTAAAAGACTTTGGGATCCAGCTAGCGAAAACCATCTGCCAAAGATTAACTTTGGACTGTGGAGCGCGAGGAATACATTTTTGTACGTTCAACTTAGAGAAGAGTGTACGTCGGGTGCTGGAAGAACTTGGATGGTCCCAAAAAACCGTCTCAAACTCAAATAAAATCATTTTAGTAAGCTGTTGTTACATTTTTAATGCTGAGGTCTCTGCGACCGCTCTTTCAGGAATCCCCGTTCCATTCAGAGGACTCTCATCTTCCTCCTGAACTGCTGATAACGGCATCTGAAGCCAGTCACCTGATACAAAGACCCACAACCCCGACTCATTCGATCGATGGCTTCCAGTTGGACCCGCTCAAAGACGATTTCCCGAACGGTCGATTTGGGGATTATACGAGCCCAGCCTATGGCGCATTAGATCCGTGGGACGGCGGCGGCATTGGGGTTACCGTGAGTGACTGTCCACTCCCTCTATCACCTGTATTCACTCCGCACACATGTGTCCCAAAGCCGGCGGAGGGCATTGCATTATGGGGCTCTCCCTCAACAGTGCAGGACGTGCAAAACTTGTTCCTATCGTATCTGGAATCAAAAATCCCCTGTACGCCGTTTTCTCTCGAAGCCCTCTCGAAGGAGACTACAATCATCCTGCCGTATTTGCTTCGTTTAACTGCGAATGACTGCTGGACAATTGCCTCCCAACCGGCGGTGGATGCCGCACGTTCTGATGATCTTGTGTTCGGTTGGGGTCCTGGAGAAGGCTATGTGTTTCAAAAATCCTTCGTCGAATTTTTTTGTACTTCAACTTCATTGCAGAGTCTGACAGCACGGGTGGTCCGACACGGGAATGGCGCCATTACTTACTATGCGAGTAATTCAAGCGTGAGTCGTTACAAGGCTTGCCAAAGATTGGCAATTTATTGAAGCTTCGCAGGGGGGTTTCATCAGCAATGCTGAGGCGGGGACACGGCACGCAGTTACATGGGGCGTCTTTCCCGGTCAAGAGATAGCACAACCGACGGTGATTGAGCAGGAATCATTCCTCTCCTGGAAGGTGCGACGCTTATTCGGTCCATATACCGCTTCCTTCTCAAGAGTGAACCTACATTGCGACAGGATGAGGCATTCTCCGTGTGGTCCCAATGGGCACAGTTCTATCCCCCGAACTCTCCGTCCAGGGCTACCCTGAAGGGCATCCAAGAAGATCGTTGGTTGGTCAGCATGCTGCACCATGATTTTAAGCAACCAGATGCATTGTGGGCTTTTTTACTTGGCAATTAAATTACCGGGGAATATAGCCTAGTATAATTTCATGAGGGTGAGGGGAGTTCGCGAGCATCCACAATGAAGCTGGAACCATACTCCCCGGTCTCCTCGTATGATTCTCCGAGCTCATTGTCGCCATCATCATCATCCAAATCTTGCATCCCCTGATCCATGTCTTCATTTTCATCTTCATCTTCATCGTCATCTTCGTCGTCGTCGTCATCTTCATCGTCACCATCTTCCTCTTCCTCTTCCTCTTCGCCTAATTCGCCCTCATTATCGGAATTATTCCCTTGTGACGTGCTTGCTTCCGAAGAACTTGCTGAGTCAAGATTTGCCTAAGATCGAGGGGTGAAAAACTGAGTAACTCAAAGCAACACTATTGGGCAAATCAACCGACATCTGCTCGTTCCTCATGGGCGGTTGCCGTCTTCCCAATGGGTATATAAAAATCCTGAGCACGCTCTCTGATGCGGAGCAGCTGATCACTGACGCTTAGTTGGTCCTATCTTGAGCAGTGGAATTTCTTTGAGATGGCACCTCATCTTCAACTTCTTCTTCCTCGTCACTTAAATCCTGAGTTTCATGAGGTAGATTCCGGCGTTCTGTCAGTCGTAGCCTTGACCTGTTTGGGTTTGGGATAGCATAGGTGTACGACTGCGGGGGAGAGAGAAAAGGGAAGTAAGGAGGAACAGGGACGAGAGTGCTCCAAGAATCGGGCATTCCACTAAAGTTTTGAATAGGATCACGTGCTGGGCCCAAGTGCTTGTAGTCTGGATCATCAACAACACCCGCCCCCAGCATGACATCTCTCCCTACTGTATCCATCGACATTGATTATGGGAATGAAAAAGGTAATACCTCGCCTGGTTCGCGCTTGGGACGCGTTTGACACGCGTTTGTCAAGGAATCATTGGAAGCTTTATCAGTGGCTTCGCGTCTCAAGAAGACATTGCGTCGGACATGGCGAACATGGACTTGGAAAGTGATTCTCAACGCGTATCTCCGCGCACACACCAAAAGTATCTGAGACAAATGGTACACTTATACCCCTGATAACCGTCTGCGATTCAACCAAGTTGATGGCACCCGCCTCATTTAGCAAAACATAGCAAATCGTGAACAATCCTTACTGGCAATTGAATTAGAGGATATTGCCCAGCACGAAGGATCTGTCTCCGGTCTTGTGCAGCGAATACTACACAATACCCGGAGATATGTTCATCTTTTTTATGAAACCCTAGACAGTCTGATGCCTGCACCAACAAAGGATATATCGCAGGAGGATGACGTTCTTGACGTGATAGTACATCAGCGGAGGGAGAAGAATATCGAGAATGATAGCAACGATGCAGATATTTTCCCTCCACAACTAATGCGGCGATAGTGAGTCCTCTGGTGTTCCCAACGTCCAATTTGATCATAAATGCTTCACCAGCAATCTCTATTTCGTTCCGTTGCACTCTGATACACCACTGTCCGTTCGTCGGATTCGAGGCAGTCAGATTGGGCGTCTTCTCACTGTTCGGGGGATGATTACTCGGGTCTCCGAAGTAAAGCCACTGCTTCAAGTCAACGCATACACCTGCGAGAGTTGTGGTTCCGAAATTTTTCAAGATATCATCAACAAACAATTTACTCCTTTGATTGACTGTATCAGTCAAATCTGTCTCGCGAATGGAACCAAAGGCACCTTGAACATGCAAACGAGGGCGAGCAAATTCAGCCCATTTCAGGAAGCAAGGCTTCAAGAACTTGTGAGCCTCCAGTTGCTCTTGTTACGTTCCTCTTACCCTCTAGCCAGACGGATCAAGTGCCCATGGGACACATTCCCCGTAGTATGGGAATCCATTTGTACGGAGATCTGACTCGCCAGATCAGTCCTGGGGATATCGTACATCTTGGGGGGATTTTTCTACCATCTCCCTATACCGGATTTCAGGCGCTTCGTGCAGGTTTACTCACCGACACTTACCTTGAGTGTCATGCAATCACTCAAGATAAGAAGCAATACTCTCGATACGAGTTATCAGCCGGGGATGAACAAAAGATCGCTGCTCTTCACGGGGACTCTAACCTTTACTCTCGACTGGCGAATAGTATTGCCCCTGAAATCTATGGCCACGAAGATGTTAAAAAGGCGCTCCTTTTACTGCTCGTTGGAGGGGTTACCAAGATGATGGATGATGGCATGAAGATCCGCGGTGACATTAATGTCTGCTTGATGGGTGATCCGGGTGTTGCCAAATCTCAGCTTCTCAAATATATCTCCAAAGTGGCTCCTCGTGGGGTATATACAACTGGGAAGGGTTCATCAGGGGTAGGATTGACGGCGGCCGTTATGCGCGATCCTGTGACAGATGAAATGGTTCTAGGTGCGAAATCCAAATCGTGCTAATATCGTGCCTTATCCATAACTATTCCAGAGGGTGGTGCTCTGGTCCTCGCTGATAATGGTATTTGCTGCATTGACGAATTTGATAAAATGGACGAGACAGATCGAACTGCTATACATGAAGTCATGGAGCAACAAACCATCTCTATCTCGAAAGCCGGCATTTCTACTACGCTGAATGCTCGTACGTCGGTTCTTGCGGCAGCAAACCCTGCGTATGGGCGCTACAATCCTAAGATTTCTCCTGTGGAGAATATCAATCTTCCTGCGGCATTGTTGTCGCGGTTTGATGTCATGTTCTTGATCCTCGACAAACCCAATCGGGACGACGATGAGCGGCTGGCCTCACACGTAACCTATGTGCATATGCACGGACACCATCCACCTCTTGAGTACGATCCGATTGACCCACAACTTATGCGGTGCGCTAACTGTTTTGAAGACGGAGTTGGTGGCTGATTGTAGTTGACATACAGACAATACATTGCGCTGGCGCGGAAAGTCCGACCCACCGTTCCTCAACACATTTCGGCATACGTCGTGGAGGAGTACGTGCGTTTGCGTAAAGATCATAAAGATCAAGAATTAGCGAGGAAGTCACATACCTACACGTCCGCACGCACCTTGTTAGGCATCCTCCGGTTAGCGCAAGCACTTGCCCGATTGCAATTTTCACCAACCGTTAATCGAGAGGATGTGGATGAGGCCATACGGCTGATGGAGAAAAGTAAAGAGAGCCTAGAGGAAGATAACGAGCTTGGCGATCGTGAGGCTGATCGGACAGGCACGTCAAAAATTTACAGACTAATAAAAGATATGATCCCGCGGGAGAGAGGCCCATGGACCTCCTCAAACAAACTTGGCAGAGGTCCTGATGGAAATTCCGATGGAGAGGACGACGACTTCGAATTATCCATCGTTGATATTCGTTCCAGAATTTTAGCTGCAGGATTCACTGAGACTGAACTCATGGATACGATCCAAGAGGTAAGTGTATTCACCATATCCTATGAATCCCCATTCATCAGTTGTCGCCAGTATGAGTTTCTGGATGTTTGGACTCGGACTACCAACGGTTCAAAACTTCGGTTCTCTCGCTGAGGCGAATATGTAATAGCTTGTATAACCCGTATTAATTGTACATAGATTGGGGATGTCTCGTATTCAACCAAGGCCCTTTTCATCACAGCCCCATCACCAAACCAGACATCGTGAAAGTGGATTAAGCTATTTAGTAAAACACTCAGCTGTGATCTACCCATCTTCAAGGGATTGATAGGCTTACCGTCGCACCGGCTGAGCAATTGAAAGTAGCTGCAAATTCTGGGATATTTTTCAGTGCATTATGAACCCTATCTTTTATCGAGACATAATTTGAGGGGCGGGATGCTATCGACGAACTTGACCAAATCCTGGCGAAGGAAATGAAGAATAGCTGGTCGACACTAAAGTCCCGCAAACCTGGGAGAAGGTTATCCAGGGTGCTCTGAGACTTCCAAGCACGTAACGCCAAGATTATGGCGGTATCTGCGAAGGTCTCCCTTGATTTCGGGTCGAACTAATCCTATGTTGAGAAACTTCAGATATTGATAATAGAGTTGGACGTACGTCGATCTGACCGTCTCGATAACATTGTGAATCGGGATGTAAACCCAAGATACAATCCCTCTTTGAGTCGTAATTTGACCGGGTCAAGTTGGTCCACCATTGTTGCAGTTGACCACGACTACCATAATTACTGCCCAGGGTATCAATTGCGTGCTAGTACGGGGATCAGCGGGATGACTAGTTCCAGATGATCCGATAAGAGCCACAAACCGCAAGTTCATGTGCAACTAATGCTCCTAACGCGCTGTACACCATATAGTCGGGTCTACGGCAGGACTCGTCAGTTTAGGCTGAAGCCAAGGTCAATGCAAATTTCCGTTTGCTGCTTACACATAACGAGAGAAGAAAGGCAGGAACAAAGAACCCGCGGGTATCTCAACCTGAAATAATAATAATCGCCATTAGTGATAACACAATACACCATACAGTTATGCGCACGCTGTTGGAGTGAAGTCTGTATGATATGGATACGGTTATCGGGTTCAGGCTCCAAGTGTTCACATCGCGGTTGTCGCCCAACGTTGCCCACTTCTTGATTTGTCGGTTTACTCTAATAACCCAGGCACACAACGATTCAGTCTCCTCCCACAACCGTGTGCCACGCGGACTCCACCTTGCTTGGATAAGGTTCGTAAAGAAAGCCTCAGGAACGATATCCACGGAAGAGTAATATTGGAGTGTTGATCTTATATCGCTAACATTGGGGCGAACATCGGGGTAGCTTAGTTTTACTTTCATCGCTCTCATCTGGATTATCGTCAGCATGCGTGGGTACTGAGATCCACACGACAGCACCTTGAGCATTGCAAACGTTGCTGTAGACTCATCCATCCAGGTGGAATTCATGAACGATTCGATGAAAGTATTGAAGAGTGCATCCACTAACGACGCAACCTTCCTGCGAACAGTATCATCTAAGACACAGCGTTAAGTGTTGTCACCACACGCTAGGAGGGTCGCATACCAAAAGTCTCCTTGACGAAGAAATAACTAATCAGATATCCTAGATTCCCCGTAGCTTCATTGATGCAGAAGGCTTCTCTTGCCAACGTAGAATCAGGGACCACCCCATGAACCTTTTCGCGCAAAGTCTTCAGAATTTTGTATGGTCGTGTGTTAAGATCCAAATACTCGGATAGGGCGAGGGAAACCTGAGCAATGAGATATGCACGGATCACTTCGGCCGATGTGGCTGCGATCAGCTCGTTAAGACCTTGTAAATAAACTAAATCCTGAACGATAATGGTTTTTGGAAAGTTCGTGGGGAGAAAAGTGGCAACAAAGCCGGGCAAGTCCAAATACGCCATGGTTGATGTGAGGTTCTCAATCGGGAGTTGCACATAGGAAATGTTCGAAGTTACAGGCTCGTCCCTTGTGTGGAAGGTCGGGTTAAGTTGCTGGAAAAAACTGTGAGGAACTACTTACGGGACAGTCATGTATTTAATCAATTGACTTTCGAACAGCACAGTCGCCTCGCTCAGTCTGCAATGAAAATTAGTCGCGATCTCGTACCAGAAAATTATCAACTACCTGCGGGCTTTACTAGTACGATTCTCGGGGGTGGGCTTGTGGGGTGGCCAAGGCCACGGCGGCCAAGCATACGCCTCATCAGGCGACTCTTCATCCAGATCATAGAAGAAGTCGAAGAGGGCCGCTCTGTAATTAGAGACCCCCTCCTCATCCAAACCCCTCTCAAGCGCGTTTCTTAGCCGGAAAGCACATCGGTATGGCAGGATTGACTCACTCTGGGAAGGAGGGGGGAAGGGTTTTTGAGCCAGAGCGCAATCTCGTCCGGGTTTCCCTTCAGTTGCCCCTCAAACACAGTAGAGAAGAAAACTTCTATATCTTGATCGACAAGAATGATAATATGAGCAATGGGACATATCTGGTTTAGATACTCACTGATAGAGTGAAGGAAGGCCATCGCGTCAGTTAAATCTAGGGGGCTTGAATCACGTCTCTGATATGTTAGCAGGTCTGGTAGGAGTTCACGTATGCGTCTGACAACTAATCTAAGTGGTTCCGAACCAACGGCTCCAAGCGCGTTCAAATTCAAGCACGAAGAATAGAAATCCTGCAGCTTCGCAAGAGCCTGCCGTACTTCTAATGAATTCTGTAGGAGACGATTCATATGGCACATACCCTAGCCTCTAGGACAGAAGCTGTCGACGACAGCGGCCGCCTCAATATGCCCTCAATGGTGCGGATGTTTGCCTCGGCAACTTCATCAAATCGCGAGTGCGAAGAACGCCCAGGAGGGATAGTAGTTGAAATATCCCATCCCCCATCTACGTCACAATCACTCTCCACTCATACCATGTGGTGCCAGTACATACTTGCATACTCATAAAAATCCTCGCAAGGATCATTGCTGTTGTTGAAACCTTTGACGACGTCTGCTGCAAGAACAACGCAATCCCGAGCAATGCAAGTTTCCTATAAAGCATCATGAGACCGAGGAGAAGAACAAAGGGATTAACGCTACCGACCACTGTCGGTGAAGGAGTCGGGGGTGGCAGAGTAATGGTTCTGGTGGACGTCACTGTCCGAACTACCGTCCTAAGTTCGCTGGTGGTAAACTTGAAAGTCTCAGTGATGGTGGGGGCAGAGCGTAGGACACGCGAAAGTCTGCTTTGGACGCCAGCATATAATCCAATGAAAACAGATAGAAGGAGAATGAGGAATAAGCAAAAGCCCAGCAAAGATTTAGACAATGCCGTGGGATGGGCTCCAAACAATTCGGAGATTAGACCCGGGTCATTGATGCGTCCCTCGTCCTCTGCGTCGGTCGACAGCAAAGCCCCTGTCTCTGGATGGGTCACGTCCGACATCAACGTTGAGTCAATTTGACCATGTGAGCGGGCACATTGCCTGCTTATATAATCATCCTCCAAAGGATCTCAGAGTCACTGTCCCATACTGCACATTTGGCGAATCGTCAAATTGAACCTACCATTGGCGGAGCTTGCAAGGCAAGAGGGACCAAATCCTTCTCCGTGGGAAACCGACCGCGTCGTGAGCCCGTGGAAAGGCACAAATGGGTACCAAAACAGTAGACTGGCGCTTCAATAAGGAAAGAAAGAACTAAAATGCAAAGCCCAGCCGTCCAGCCTAAGGACCCTTCACAACAAAGGTAGCCTATAATAAATATTGCAGTTGATTTAGAAACTATTTTTGTTTCTCAAATCAAAACTAAATTTCGAGGTCAAGGAGGCGTGTGAAGGACGCGATTTACATAAGCAGCATTGGCAGTCAGGACTGTATGCACCTTTCCATCTCAAGATTTCAAAGTTATGCACGCAACTCGCGCTGTCCGCCCCCCTACCGTGCTGGCTCGCCACCTTCACAAGATCTCATCCAGGACGCTTTTCGGCCTTTCTTTCAGGGGGCCAGCTCCCAAACTTCCCGCTCTCTCCAGACTCTCACAAGATGACCTCTTCTACCCTCTGTCCCGATCGCCAATACAAACTATGAGGAAACGCGCTGAGGCAGTGAGATCAATGGCGCCATGCCCAGTATGCCTAGAGGCTTATGAGGAACGAAGACCTGTGCAATTTGAGTGTCCAGATTGTGGTTGGCCCACTCACTCGACCGAGGAGCATTGGAAGGCTGACAAAGAACACTCAAAGTACTGCGCTAGGCTGCGAGAAGTGAATGAAGATGAGCATGATCTAAGGAGTGGCCGCGACCTTCATGAGTTTATCCTCCCTGGTGCGCATCGTCGTTTTATAAGTGCTGCAGCACTAACGGTGCGCTCACGCTGTGCAGGTCAGCAGGATCTGGAGGAAGCTGTTTCCTTTGCCAATTGGGATACGTACTGGTACACTAGAACGCATCCATCAATTGACACGGAGCGGTCGAGAAGGCACCTTTCAAAATTGCTCACATATCCAGTCACCATCTCTGGTGTCCTACATGAATTCAGCGGCCTAACAATGAGGAACCAGCGAGTGACACCAGAAGGAGCCCGTTCCCTAGCAGGTGTGCTCGATCTGTTCGCGTGCCGGCCTGTTTCTTGATACCTGATACACAATTCAGCTCTTCGATCAACTTTGCACCAAGCGCCTCCTCGAAACGAGGACGAAGATGAACGTCGAAAAGTTCGGATTTTCATCTTGGGTGCTAGGGCAGAATCTTCATTGCCTCCTCATGTATGGCAACAGCTCCCGTACCTGTTTCCAGGGTGTCGGTTCCACCTATTCTTCATTGGGCCCCAGGTCTCAATCCCGTCTAATGCTGATCCATCCGGTTCAATGTCTGAATCGTCCTCCACACTTTTCGAGCCCCAATCCATGAAACCGAACTTGGGCTCATTACGGGTCCGTGATCAAGATGTACAATATGGGGTCCCATCATACACTGTTGCTTATTCGCCAACATTGACACTAACATCATTGCAATCAACATATGCTGCAATTTATAAACATTTCGGTGCAATGGACCCCTTTCAAGATGTTTTCTTCGCTTTCAGCCCAGGATTTGGTTTCCCCTCTCCAGTCAATCCTGATGTGCCACAGGCAGCATCGCCTACTGAATGGGGACCAGACCTACCAGTCATCATCAAGTCAAAATGCCCACTCTTTGTCACAGGGTTTTCACCTACTGATGTGGAGCGAGATGTCCGTTCTCTGGAGAGCTCAGAGGGCGTTTCCGGGGAATTCGATTGGATAATTACTCCTGGCGTGAATCCGTTCGGAAGCGAGAAGTGGGAGGTAGCAGATTTTGACCCTCGTGTGATGGTCAAAGTTAATTGGGGGATCTGGGGTATTTGTGGGAAACGGCGGGAGGTGCAAGGACAGTATCAAGTCGACTGAAGATGCGGCCGACTTTCTTCGGCCATTGCTGGATAGAGTTTCATGCTTCAATGTGCCTTATATCATTGTCAAATAGACTAAAAACATTAGTTACTGCTCTCCAGGCTGCGTACGCAAGTTCCATTCTTGAACGACCCGGCCGTTCTCCTGTCACGCGGCGTTGACCGACTGATTCGTGACTGTCAGCTGCCGGGCGACTTTCCTACACACCGTCCACAAATGCCCATCTCACTCGCCTCTGATTCGATTAACCCTCAGATCGCTGGCATACAGGTCAGCCCTTCCATCCCGCAACACGACCTCTACTAGCTGACGGTGCCACAATTCGAAGCCTGAGTTGTATGACCCAAGACTAGTCCTGGACTCCACTGAATTCCGCATCCTAGGACACAACGAACGACCCACAAGCAAAGGCACAAATATTGCCTGTTTTACTAATCCTAACCATGAACTGCATCTTGTGGAGAAACCCATCCCAAAACCAGGGAAGGGACAGGTCTTGTTGCACGTGAAGGCATCAGGGTATGTTGTTCCTCCAACTTATTAAGTTATTTGCGAGAGGCAAGCTTAAACCCGTTCTCCGTTCCGAAAGGATTTGTGGGTCCGACTGTCACTTTTGGAAGCATGGCAGGTCCGTTATCTCTGTGACCAGGTAGATGAGCTCATGAACCTTCGATCCCCGGATCACAGGATCGGCGACACCATGGGTACTTAAATATCATTTATCACCCCTCCGATAGACTTCGTTGTGTTGACTCATGATGTTGTACTAGTGGTTAGGGATGAGCATGGACTCGGGCACGAATCAGCAGGGGAAGTCATAGAAGTTGGTGAAGGTGTCACGAAGTGGGTCAAAGGCGACCGAGTGGCCATCGAGGCAGGTGTGCCGTGTTCCAAGCCATCCTGCGAATTTTGTCGATCAGGGCGGTACAATGCTTGTCCGGACGTAAGAATTGCCGTTGAAGCCAGTTGTATGAACTCATGGATCACACAGGTCATATTCTTTTCTACCCCCCCATACCATGGCTTGTTATCTCGCTTCCATGTGCATCCTTCCGGTAAGGACATCATAGAGAGGTCGGAATAGTGTCAATCCCCTCTGAATTATCTCCCCGGACTCATCAGCGTGGTTGCATCCCTTGCCCGAGAATCTTACGTTCGAGGAAGGCGCTCTCGTCGAGCCTCTTGCGGTTGCCCTTGCCGGCATCGAGCGCGCCAAGCTTGCCTTGGGTGATCCACTCCTGATTTGTGGCGCGGGGCCGATAGGTGAGCAGGGAGGACAGACTACATTCACGCTGCCGGGCATCTCGATGATGTTGGGCTGTCTAGGAATCATTACCCTTCTAGCGTCCCGGGCCGCAGGAGCGGAGCCGATTGCCATCACTGATTTGGACGCTTCGCGCCTCGATTTTGCGAAGAGCTTGGTTCCAAGTGTGAAGACTGTCCAAGTTCTTCGAGACGAAACTGGAAAAGAGACGGCTGACAGAGTAAAAGATACACTGCGAATGCTGCCTCGTATTGCCATAGAATGTACGGGGGTAGAGTCCAGTGTTCACACTGCAATCTATGTAAGCTCAACTTTCCTTTCTGTCTCGCTATTTCGCTCATTGGAAAACGTCGGTATAGTCTGTCAAATTTGGGGGTCTAGTATTTGTTATCGGTGTCGGCAAAGAGATACAGGTAACGTTACATGGCGGCTCACATTTCCGCGGCCCTGACGCGAATGACAGAACATCCCGTTCATGCACCTTTCCGCCCACGAAATCGACATGAAGTATCAGTATCGTTATGCTGAGCAGTACCCAAAGGCCATACGGCTCATTTCCGCTGGACTTATCAATGTGAGGCCCCTTGTGACGCACCGATACGCACTGGAGGACTCGTTGCAGGCATTTGAGACGGCCGCAGATTATAGTAAGGGAAGCATCAAAGTCCAGATTGTCGATTGATGCGGTGCGATGATGCTGGAAAGGTTCGGTGAGGCGGCAGCCGAATTGCCCATCAAGGAGTTGAACACATCTGTACGATTTAAGGCAAAGTCCTGTCTCTTATGAACGTATCGGGGGGTTGGGCAAGTGGGAAGCCCGTTCAGTAGTGCCTATTGAGTGAGCAAAAAATGCTGCGCAATTGCCAACAAACCCATATGATATCAATCCGGGTACCACAGCCGTCTTATGTTTTGCGATCCGTCACGTCATACATGCCCAGTACGAGCACTGTCATGTAATGGCGGCTGGCAAGGCCTCAACCAGGGCGGAAAAGATCAGTATTTAATCTTGTATTCCGAACATTCTACTGCATTTTATGCTTCCATCACATTTTCATTTTTTACCTGGGACGAAACAACAAGGATGACTTTTCAGGCTGTTATTATATACAGCGGAGTTAGCCGAGGTCATTGCACCACCGGCCAATCACAGCCCAAAATGTCACGGAGTTTGCAGTGGAAACTTCTTGTGGGACTTCCCCATTCCGTCTCAAATATCCGCCCAGTAATCTGTATTCATGCACAAGAGAAGCCACATCTACCTAAGCAACGTGTGCACCCCTACGCAACGGAGGAATTTTCGAGTTCTTCGTCCTCCACGACTAACGTCGGAAATTATGGAAACCCAGATTGGTTACTGGAAGATAACGCCCGATATGCACACTGCTTTTGGTACTATGCAAGCATCACATCTCACACCATCTTGCCTGCATGCTTATTTCAAATCAACGAGTTAGAGCAATGCTAGATTCCACGCCGCAAAACAAGCTATTGTAGACTCGCACTCGAATATCCGGTACCCCGATGACCCATCTCGCGAAGCCGCTCTTGAGAGTGCTTTGTCCCGTTTCTATCGGAGATGGCTTGAACAGGAGCATCGACCGCAACAATCTTTCACTCAGGCCATGTATCTGCGCACGTTCCACCATATCAGAACCGCATTGAAGGAAAAGTGGAATTTGATGTAGGCGCAACTACTTGCATTACGACTAATGATGCTGACCATCATTGTGCTGCGTAGGACTGGTAGAGGAACTTGATGTTGGTGATATTGATTATGAGGAACTCTAACTAATAACTAAGATATATGTGACCTGTGTTTCTGCAAATACATCGGGAACGGTCAATGAGCATGAGTACGGGAGATGATTATAGTCATGTTCTAGGGCTTTGATGTAGTGGTGGCCACACCGTTTGCAAGAATAGCCGGACGATCACCAGTTATTCGATCGAAGGAAGGCGAAAAAGGTCGAGGTGTGGTAGCTGGTGCAAATGACGAGACATGCAGAAATGCGGTTACTTCCTGAAGAGATAGTGCTAAGTCTGCAACGTGATGTCTCAGTGTATCTGACAGAGGGCGAGAAGTGGCGAGTATCTTGAGTTGCATGAGTATTTGGACACCAATCTGTTGGATTATCTGAATGAGAATGGTCTGACAATAAAAGGCCATCTCACCTTAACAAAGGTGTGTGTATCTTCGCCTACTCCCTTGCTAAATTCGCCGGTGTCATCGTATCGCGAATTTGATAGATGGTCAAGAATTTTAGAAGTAGTGGATTTGACTTTTTCCAAGTTGCCAAGTAAGCTTTCGTGATCACCATCCGGTTCATCAGTCAGTGCGACGTCAATCAAGTCCCACACAATTTTGGCTCTCTGAGCGGCCATCTCCAGTGTGTTCGCTAAATCCCGATCAACCAGCTTGGCAGGATCTGTGGCAAGCTCATTGAGAGGGTCGCTGCGTTGCCGTGCAGCGGGTTGACGCCGGATCGCATTTCGAGGGGCTAAGAGAGGCGGGGAGGCGGAGGAAGAGGTAGGAAATGACGGTGACGGAAAACTAAACGATGCTGTAGAACTTTGTGATGTTCCCCGGGAGTGAGTTGCTTCGTTGTTAAGAGGGAATGGGGTCGATCCACTCTGCGAGACATTGGACAGCGAAGACTTACGAAAGAGTGTACGAGAGGGGGGTGGATTAAGTGGTGGGACCGGAGAATCCGAAGTGTCCTGCCTGGACGGAAGGTGTCTCCCAATTTGTACATCATTCGAACTGAATGAACCTGCATGGCGACGATATCTTGCTGGCGATGGGCCTGTGGAGATATGAGCAACGGCTGCGCCAGAGTCAAAAATTGGTTGCTGGGTTTCCGGTTGTGTTTTTGTTCGAGCGTCACGAAGGACAGATCGCACTACACCCAAATGAGGAGACATTTGGAGCCATGAGTTTGATATCTCTGCCGCCGACCCATACAACATCAGCAGAAGGGTGCGGGTATATCGGGGATCATGAGAAGATGAAAGAACCTTCAGCTGAAGCTGTAAGACACTCATGACCTTGCCGAATACCGTTAGATTCTCTAAGCAACTCTCCATGAGGAGAAGGAATAGATCCGATGCAAATGGCCACCCTTTGGATGCTGTCGTCGCGTCAAATACATCCAGCGCATTGATCAGATCACTCAGAAAGCTATTTGTTGGGTTCAAAACCTTGCTAAGAGCAGTCGCGACACGCTCATCAACGGCGGACACAGCGTAATTTCGCACTGCCGAGTATATCTGGGTGAGGGAGAAGAGTATCCCTCGTATGGAATCTACTAGGTATTGAAGTGACGGTGACAAATTCGTGTCAATGCCATGGAGTTTAGATATCCGTCGAAAATAACGATTTCGCTCGGAATCGATGTGTGCAGTCTCAGTGTCAACATGAAAGTCTGGATCTTCGGCGGTAAAGCCGTGAGCATCGCGATAACTCTGGTCTGCATGAGAAAATTGAGAGCTCGAACGACGGGAGCGGGTGTCCGGCGTATTGTGAGATGAGCCACGTATGTGCTGAGTCATGCTGGGTGATGAGCGGGATCTGCGATGGACAGCCGGGTCTTCGTCGATCTTTGTTGGAGACTGTAGTTGGAATATCGACTCCTCTTGATGGGAAACAGGAAGGATCGAGGGGAGGGTTGACGAAGCTAAATCCAAAGACTGACTCCGCCCATGGGCCAGCAATACCCCGTTGCCAGCATCATCTTGCACCAGCTGTGAGCGAGCTATGACAACCTCATCATCACTGAAATACAATCAGTGTACATACCAAACCGAGCGTACGTAGCCCCACCTAGTATACTCTGCGTCCTCGAAAGGTTGCACCTCCCCTGCATGGGTCGCTATCCACGACTGTAAATTTGCCAACCAGGATCTAACCCCTTCATCATTGTCATCGAGGGCATGGTCCATGCGCCATATATCAGGTGGAGGCCATACAATGGGGTTAGAGTCCAACTTCAGAACGCGCAGATTGTGAAACTTAGTTATGTAAGTGGGTACCGCCATTAACTGATTTCTTGCCAGCGAAAAGACCTAATAATAATATTAAGCAAGGGCCTTCGGTAATAACAGCCAATCTACCCTCAGATTTATAAGTTTTCCAGGAAAGAGTGGCAGAGCTGCAATTCGGTTTCGACTAATGTCGAGTATTTCCAGGGATGGAAGCATCGTAAGCTGATGCAACCATTTGTGCCTGTTAACATTGGAACCACAGAGTCGGAAGGGTAGGAAGGACCGACCACGTCTGGGAAGTTCTCAAACGAGTTTTGCCGCAAATTTAAGTACCGCAACCGGATGAGGAGTTGGAAACTCTTTGGGAGAGATGTCAGCAAGTTGTTGCTGAGCGCAACGCTACAACCTATTTCAGATGACAGCCTGAGATGATCAGAAATTCGCTCCTGACCGTGTAACGATTCCTGCCTCATCGGAGCTCTTTGCACCAACCCTTGCCAGCTCGACGGCGCTTGAGTCACTTACTTCTGTAAAGCTCCATTTTGTCAGATCCAAGGTCTCGCCCCCGTCTGTGGACTCCGAGACTGCCTTGGAGATGTGCTGTAGTCCTAGAGTTAACGACATTGTTTGAATGTATTATTCGGGAAGGTCCACTGGGCGTTGGAGCACAGCCTGAAGACACTCCCTGGATTACAAACTAAGAGTACAGGATGATCGGGTTTCTATAACACGCGACCCATACTAACTTAAAGCTCCTCGCCTCCCATACCCAGCCCTCTCAGCCTGTCCATTCTGATGAAATCTGTTAATGTATTGACCCATGTTTAAAGGGGAGCACTGCAACTTACGGTACTCGCACTTTTTCTTCGTCGACAGCATGTGAGCGTGAAGAAACCAGATTCAGATCTCTGTCAAAACCATGAGCAGTCTTCAACAAACACCGCAGGTCAGCGAAATCTATGTCTGGAAATACCCGTGCATACCAGATCGTGCCAGGTTTCTTCCTCATCGCTTTCAGTCTGTAGATGATATAGCTGAAGGAATCCCTGGAAGCTTGTGGAATGTTCGCCCTTACAGCATCAATTGCCGATCCGAAAGCGCCTCACTCACGTCAAATGGCCATCTTGAGTGACATCGAGGGAATCGCGCAGCTCTTCTTTTGCTTCAATAGGTAACGGCAGCCCATTGGTATCTTTCGCAAAGCGATCCAGCCCCTCATCCGTTATGTATGCTTTATCCAGGCCGAGAATATCCTTTGAAAAGGGAAACCGGAGCGGTTCCGGTTCTTGAGCCAAGGACGCGTCGAATGTTGCGTACTTTGAGAATATGTACATGAGCACGCTTCGGAACTGTACATCAAAATCAGCTCGTACATTTGCCTGGTTGATGGGTCGACGCGCTCATGCCTTTGCGCTGATACTGCCATCTTCGTCTAAAAGATGGACTGTGGCATTTCGTCGTCCCTGAATCATCATCAGTGTGACGGAGTGGTTCAATATTGCCTGTCCCAAGTCTTCTCTCACCTGTCGGGACTCGGTGTCCTCGGGAGTGTCAGGAAATGGTGCGTTATCCATGGACACGAAGAGACTGGCCTTCGGCACTAGCCGCTTCCACTTCAGGTGTACTTTGTCCGAACAGTGGCAGGTTCTATATAATATTACGAAGTCGTAGAGGCTGGAGTCCTGCCTAGTGGCGGGTCGCATCATCTGATGATGTGGAGAAAGAATATGATTACCCGTGGATTGACAGACGTCAAGGGACGGTGGTTCGTCCCAGAAAAGGTATGCTGTATTATGGGGTTATCTAGAGATGAACACACTCAGAACTATAAAGTCTAACGGTTTATTTTTTTTAAATCAGACTACTCCTCCTTTGACTCTGCCATGGCACGTTCCAGCCTCCGGCTTGCACGCTCCGCTATGTCTAACCCAACAAGAATTTTACTGGCCTTCCATAATTGCACCACATTGATGATGTTCTTAAGGAAACAAACACCAGATGTGAGGACAGCGAGGAGTTGCGGCCAGGTTATGTCAGCAACATGTGCTTGATAACGGTAGGGAAATCCAAGAGCAAGAGATCTGAAAGGTTCACCAATCGGTGAGGTCTCCCACTTCTTGATGAGATATAAGGCGATGAAAAAAAGCTCATTCCCAGCGCAAATGAGAAAAAGATTCAGCTTCGCGCGTCAAAACTATCAGGTATTTGAAATCCCGAGAACATCATAATCTTGCGTACTGGGTTGTAGTAAAATCGCAGAATGCGACTGACTTCGCTAGTGACAGCTTTATGAGTCTTGGCTCCAGTCTCAAGGGAACTACCGTGTAACATAATGAGCTATGGGGAATTGACTGATGTTTGAAGGGGTGTAGGCTTACCTGTACATGTGCATATAATGACTGCTGAAATCCAAGGCGATCAAAAACTGAAAAACCGTGGCATAATCGGGGTATGCGGAGGAAAGAAAACATAATAGACATGAAGTTGTGCAACTAAATGATGTTAGTTAGCTGGGACACGGGCTAGAGGGAGGCATGCGATATAAACCGGTCAGTGACCATATCCAGAACGGCACCAAATCTTGATGTTTGCCCCAACTTTCGAGCCGCAAAGCCATCCGCAGCATCTAAGATGCACGATAAAGCATATAAAAATGTGCATGACTTCGGATGTGTGCTCATGTAGTGCAAGGACAAGGCAGCGAGAATCACTCGAGTGTAACCTGACGCAGATCGCATTGAGGTGGCGACATAAACATGCCAACCGACGTTTAGATGTTACCTATCAGGTTAGGCACAAAAAGGAAAACATTCTCTTCCTGTGCTGTTGCGATATCCTGGACAGCAATCAATGTGAGCGCATCAAATAACAATCGCAATACAACACTGGTATACTTGCCAGAGCTACCTTCGCCCCATCTACATCAGAGTTGCGCCTTCTGCGCTCCTCAAAAAACGTCTGGGATGCGACAGAAGATGAGCGACGCTTGCGTTGCATTAAGGACTATGTGTCTCAGGTCTGAAGGGGAAATTAAATTGAATAGACGCCCTTCGGGGGCGGCAAGCGCCGCAGGCTCTTATTGCCGTACTCTTCACATGCGACCTGCAGCACTATGGCACCGAACGAGGCATCTGAAGACGCTGATTCCAGGAGGGGCTTCTGTGCTCCCCTTTTCTTCCTCCACTTGTTTCTCATTTCCTCGGAGCAGTCCTGTCCGAACGGAGGGAGGAACGGTCCAACGTCTCTCTGCTGCAAGTGGCTCCCTGCCAGAAGATGGCTGCGGCCCTGGAATCGAAGGAAGGTCGAAGAGAAAGCTGACACGATCGTCTAAAGTCCCATCAGAGACACCAGATTCACCTCTGTTGCCAAATGGTGTAGACCATGGTACCTCCGACCCGAGTGGGTCCTTCGAGCAGTCAGGAGCTGTTGGGCTCCCTCCCCCTTGGCTTCTTCAAGAGGCTTATGAGAATCTCCTTCTGACATTGCATCCCCAGATACAACACCGAGCGGCATATTCTTCTGGTGATGGAGGCTCCGTCGAGCCTACACTTTCGCTGTATTGCCCTATTGAAGGCGGAGAGTATGTCATTGATGCTACTGTCAGAGAAATTGCTAGCAGGGCTCGCGCGGATGTTGTAGTTATTGATGCTTTGGATCTGGCAGCTGGAGAGCATGGCAAGTACGGTAAATGTATGCATAGTTTTACCGCTTGTACGAAAGCGACCTGATTTACAGCTAGCCGCGTCCATCATTAATTTTCATTCGAATCCTTTGCACCATTCGCCGACCCCTACACTCATTGGGCGGCAATTATGGGCAAGAAACGAGAAGGACGAAGAGATCGACGGAGAAGGGATGGGACTGCCCTTTATATTTGGGGAGCCTCAGTCTTTTACGATCCAGATCCCTGTCGGAGTGCAATCTACCTCATTCCGTGCGGCGCGCGGCACCCCTAGTGGTGCTTCCATCGTCCCCTTGGCTCGGCACGGACCTTCACAACAAACAAAGGCATTCTTCCATGAGATAATAAATATCGATCAGCCCGTTCCAATCTGCAGTGCAAGTGTGGACAAGGCTGAAGCTTCTTCGGCTCGCCCAAGACTCATATACATCAAAGATTTTCCGCTCATCGCAAGCCAGTTCTCTTCGTGGTATCCCGCTTTGCTTGGCGCGGTACGGACCCGTCGTCAGAACGGCAACCCTCGTTCTTCTTTGCCAATTTCTCAACCCACGACCATCGTGTTCGGGATCACTCCTCCATTAATTGGCCCATCTAGGCCTTCGTCGAAACTTCCTAGTTCCCAGAGCGTCGTTAGTGTGCTCACTGGGAATTCTTTGACTTCCACTAAGCTTCCTCGTCCCGAATCTTGGTCTGAAGGTGATTCCAAATCCAGGGAGCGCCGTCTGCGCGAGCGACTAAGGAAGTGGCAAAAAGGAGACGATTGGCTTAGTGAACTGCCTCACTTTGGGGGAACATCGTTGCCACACAAATATCCCAGGGTTTTGCGGGCTGACTCGAGCCTTCTCGGGAGTGACAACATTCTATCTATTCCAACAGGGAGCAGTCCTCGCGCTTCTCTGGATCCAGTCGCTGCTAACAAAAACGGCTATTTCAGGGTGGTTGGAGTTGTGCCAGCCTCTCGAGATCCCACAATGGAAGCCACCGGCCGATTCTCACGTCGCCTTCACTATAATGAGATGGCGTTCAAAATGGCTGTGGCAGATGCTGGGGGGTCATTGCAGGGGCATATTGCACTGCCAACATCAGACCCAACGAAGGTGGAATCGTCACTATCTGCCTTGACCGTTGCATGGACTCAATCGTTGGAACCTTGGAAAATCTTGAAGGCGGCCGCAGATGCGGTCGTAGCATCGCGATTGGGGGTTCTCGGCGTCCAGCGCACCGAATCCCTCGATCTTGTGACCATTACCTGGTCTGATGTCGAACGAACGATTATAAGTGAGGCAGATGCACAACAGCTGAGGAAGGACTGGATAGAGAGTTCTGCCTCAGCACTAGTGGACGAGGAGAAAGCCGACGTCGATGCAGTCAGGGAAGAATCAACCAATGATGTCGATGAGATCCTTGAGTCGGTAAAGAGGGATCCAGATTTGGATCAACATGAGCAGCGCTTGCTTGGCTGCATCGTTGACTCGGGTACGTTCCCTGTCATTCTTTCGTATGTGTTGAGACGGTCTGACTCGGTGCAATGTAGCCACAATGCCCACAACATTCAAATCCGTCCACCTTCCCCCCGCTACAGTTGACTCCGTGCGAACCATTGTCTCACTTCCCCTTCTTCACCCCGAAGCGTTTGCGACTGGTATCTTGAAGACTCATTCGATGAATGGAGTACTCCTCTTTGGCCCCCCTGGTATCGTCTTATTCGATAACTACTCTATGACTCTAGCTCATATAAGCGACAGGCACAGGCAAAACTTTGTTGGCTCGTGCAATTTGCAAAGAGAGTGGCGCCCGGATGATGTTAATTAAGCCTTCAGATGTTATGGACATGGTACGTAAGTGTGGACAAGCAAGGGAGATACACCTTCTGACTTGCCGCGACCTTTAATACGAACAGTATGTAGGCGAAGGCGAGAAGCTGGTCAGAAGTGTGTTCACTCTAGCCAGAAGATTGTCCCCCTGTGTTGTTTTCCTGGACGAAATCGATGCCTTGTTTGGCCATCGAGTTTCTTCCCGAGATGGTGGGAGCGCTATGGCACATCGGGGTGTCATAACAGAGTTCATGCAGGTAAAGCCTTGTCTATACCTGTCCTTCTGAGCATGCCTCGACCGTATATTCAAGGAAATGGATGGATTGAAGAGTTCAAGGGACCAGTCCGTTATAGTTATCGGCGCTACCAATCGGTATGCCCAATACTAAACAAGTTTGGTGACACGCTGATTGCAGGCCAGCCCCTTCGATTTGGATGATGCGGTCTTACGGCGATTACCGCGACGCCTATTGATTGATTTACCCGGTCCCACCGAGCGAGAAGGTCAGAATTGGAACAAGGAATCGAACTGCACTCATTCAACTACCCTACTACAGAAATCCTGAAAATATTACTTCGCGATGAAACGCTATCCCGTGACGTAGATCTTGGAGCCCTTGCAAAGCGAACTGACGCTTTCTCTGGATCGGACCTCAAGCGTGCGCACTGCAGTCATTCCAAACTTGTGAATATGCTAATCTCCAATATTTAATTTAAGATCTTTGCATAGCGGCAGCGCTTGACGCAGTTAAGGAAAATGTAGATGTCCCCTGGGCTGTTCCGTCGAGGTCCCCAACGCCTGCGACAAAGTTTGAAAACGACCAGCTTGTCCCTGACATGAAAACCATCGGACCGCCCCATAATGCCCAGGGCATCGATCCTAAAGAACAACATTTGCTTTCGCGCACATTATCCTTGCGACACTTCAACAAAGCATTGAGGGAGATAACACCTTCGGCCTCTGAGGCTCTTGGCACCCTAGTCGCCATTCGAAAATGGAACGAAGAGTTTGGTGAAGGGTCAAAGGGAAGACGGAGACGGGCATGGGGGGACAGGTTTGGATTTAGTGCTATTGGTGCCACCACCAGTGACTCTACCGAACTGAACACTGTAGAGCCTCACCAGAGCATATAATCATCGCGTTCGTGTTTCCACCATGGGGAGTAGCTGCGAATTCCCATTGGCACTTGGAAATTCGATTTCCATTGATGCTGTGTAATAGAATCACCGCCCACCGTTCCACTATAGTGCTAAACTTCTGACGCAGCAACATCTGGCTCTGTGAATTGCTTGCGGCGTAACTTCGACTTTTCGCTGCCCTCCCGAACCGCTTCTTCACCAACTTTATTGAGACCTTGCGATGACCAGCCCCCGTCACATGAAGGGCACTTCAATGGCCGCGATTTGGCCGCCTTTTTTCGAGCATTGAAACAATGCTCGTGCAAACGCACTCGGCATTCTGGGACAAAGCATGATAAACCCTGTGATGACTGTAAGGACGAATACTGAGGTTCGAGAACGACGATACCTTAGTGACGATGCGATCGCAAGATGCACAAAGAAGAACTTCATCTTCATAAGTCGATTTAAGATAAGGCTCCAGTTCCAGAATAGTGCGTGGTGATAAAGAGTACCTCCCATGTCTATAGTTGTATGGGGCGGGTGTTGGACAATGGGATAGATATCCAGTAGATAACCTTACCTGCTCTTGAGGAGCCACCCCCGAACGACAAAACTTTGTAACACAATCTCTGCCTGTGCTTTTGTCATGTTCCCTCTGGTTGTCAGACTGCTCACTTCTCTCAAAGCGGCAAGCGAAGAAACACAAAATGTTTCGTTGGGCGCAGTCATTATCTGCTCCACCTGAGGTTCAGGGCACAATTAGAATGCGTAAGTAAAAAAACGATTAACAGCTGTGCAACTTGCAAGTTGGCGGAAATATGCAACTTCATTCGGGCTGTACTGAGTGGCCATCTGAGCTATCTCGTCTCCTTTATCATTCGTCTAGCACCAAACATAATGGCTCCTCAGCTTCAAATGACACGAGATTGTCCAGCTTACTATAGCCCAGAAAACCCGGCCGTCCACTTCGCTATCGCCTCGTCGGAATGCAAGTCCAAGGGGCTCAAGCGACCGATTTGTCTGAACTACCATGTCATTGAAGTAGTCTTCCGAAAATACGACGTTAATTGACGCATTAGTGCCTGGAGACAAATGGGTCCCGCCTGTGAGAGCCAATCAACTAAAGAAAAGGCCTTTCACTTTTAACGGCAGCAACAGATTGTCGGGCCAACGCTTTCGCGACGCTGTCTGTGACCCATCCGCGAGAGATGACAGATTGAAGGAAAAGCCTTGTATAAAGTCAGTCGCCAGAGGCGAGGGCATGGCTGAATTTGTCCTAACTTGTTGATCTCTGAGGTGCTCATGTAATTCGAAGTAATGCCCTGCGCGGTGCCGAAAGGTCCTTTTCGCACATATTTTCACGCAACAACGTTGGTGTAGTCATAGCCACAGCTTTAGGGAGAACAGCTTGTTCTGGAAGCGCCTGGATATTTCAATCTGAAGCGAACATGAACTCTATCCATTGACTATGAAACGGAAAAAAAGCCAGTTGCGCTGAAGAAACTGCTGCAACGTGTCAGGCTCGTGTCCTCGGTGACTCTGATATGGACCTCCCAATGATTTCCCGGATGCTTTGAACCCTAGCCTCAATCTTTCCCGCTTTATCCACACTGTAACCGTGCCCTCCAATCAACCTGGCCGTTGACAAAGAGACTCCGCTGCCTCTAAAATGTCGCTTTTCGGTGGACGGACAAAGGCAAATCTACCCCATTCGAACGAAAGGGTCGAGGTTATGAAGGGGGGAATGCCCGGGAAGGGAGGTATCACCCCACCAGCCCCGGTGTCATCAAGGGCGAACGTGTACATCAACCAGCCGACTCGGATGTCTTCCAAGACTGCATCCAAGTTTGGGCTGTCAACAATGTATTCTCCCTTCTCGCCTAACCCTTCAAGAAGGCCAACCAGAGGGTGGACGATTCCAGTGACGGTTGCAGACCCACTCACCACTACGAAGGTCAAGCCCGCTGTTGCTGAGTCGTACGGAAAGAGCGGGTCTAGTTTGGCCCCGTTGGGATCTGCCTCCAATCCCGGAGGTCTTAGATCAATGATTTCTCGCACTTTTAACACACAGCATCGTCCTCAGAACGAGAATAGCATATCTACACCTAAACGCCCTCCAGAGTTTTCGGAAGAAAACCCGGAAGCACCGGCGATTTCCCCTGCTTCAGATGTGATTAAGGAGGACAGCGGGAAGCTTGCTGGCCGCGTATTGGGAGCTCCTTCGCACTCATCGGAACGGAAAGTGAGTCAGCCTCTCGAACGTCCGGGCAATTGTTGCTCAATGTATTGAATCTTAAGGTGACAAGTATCCCTTCGGAAAAGGAAGGCATCTTACCCAATGAAGATCAGGCGTCGAAACAAGACCCTCAGGCATCAGCTGCAGCGAGGGGATCTGAACAGTTGACCAACGTGTCTCCGGCAATGAAGGGGAAACATTCGCTTCAATCTGAGAGTTTCGCTGGGAACTTGGTCTCCGAACCTGATGGTCCTGGTAAGGGGCTATCAATGTTGAACGGTCCAGCTGTGGCGAAACCGCGGCTTACCAGCGGCTCGACTTCGTCACAGACCGATCCGAAGACAATTCTGGGGATTCAAGCCGTCGGATCCGCTCTGGAGCAGCTCTCACCAACTGTGACATCCTCAACAACGAAATTCACTGGGCTCATTCCGCTCCGAAGCTCACCCGGTAGCCCACTGGAGGCGACTAGGCCTATGCCTCTCCCTTCTTCACCCTCCCATAATCCTTCAACGAACGGGCTCAGTACATCTGTTTCTGCGGTTCATGGATCATTAGAAGACAAGCGATATCCGCATCCAGCTGTAGCGCTAAGTGCTCCAATTCTCACGGCATCCCCGCGTCTAGAATCAATGTTTTCAATCGAGCAAAGGCTTCAGACATATTCTGAAAAACCCCCAGATTCACCTCAATCCAAATCGTTAATATCTCCTCTCACGTCAACTTTTGTGAGCGCCCTTTCATCGCCGCTCCTTGTGGAATCTAGACAGTCGTCTTCCACCATGTTGACTCCCCGCCCAGAAACTGGTTCAACTATCACTATCTCCGCCCCGACTCCGCTGAAGGCCTTATCCTCTCCCTCATACAGCGTTTATGAACCCGTTATGGATGGGCATTCCGTGACTGTTCACCCATCGGGTCAAATCCGCAGGGTCTGTCCGAAGATTGAGCCGCTTGGATCAAAAGACGACTGTCAGGCATCTGGGGGTTTGTCTCATACTGTCAAGGACATACCCTCTAGTGTAGTAGGCGTTGTCATCAAGACGTCAAATGGTCAACACAAAACGGCAAAACTGCCGCGTTCGCCCCCGCCTAGAAGTCCAGGGATAATCGTTTCATGCGTGCCCTCCTTGGTGCCAATTTCTGACCCAGCCCCAAGCTCTCAGCCTTCAATGGGGACTACTGGGTCTCCTGATCCAGCTTCAGAAATTCCAACGACCGCCCCCCCGTTGCGTGTAACAAAGAGTGAACCTTTGCGTGCCACTTCCCATTCTGGCGACTGGGACATTAGCACCCCATCGTTCGACAGTCAAATCCAGACTTCCTCTCTTATCCCTGTTTCAGGCACAACAAAAGACACTATGACAACTACTACAACTTTGCCAAACGGTCGAGACATTTCACTTTCGCCAAAATCGCCCATCCTCTCATTACGAGGGGCCCCACAAGCCGCTGAAACCCCAACCGTGTGTGAGGTCGTGGTTCCAACCACTTTGAGCAGTAACACGCCGGTCCCGTTGGCCAGAATCCAACAATCTCCTCCGCAGTCTCCAATCACCAGCGGAAATGTTATCTCAACCCCGAACAGAGTCCGAGCCAAGGTACTGCCACCCATTTACGTCCCGGGGGGATCAAGCATAGCAACGAGTCCCCCCCCCACACCATCTTTCAGGTCCCGCTTCACACCCGTAGCAAAATCACTGGGTTCTCCCTTACCCGCAATTCCTCGAACTCCACTAAAGGCGAGAGAGCTGGATCCCAATGATGCCACAGTCCCCGAAAGGAAAGCCACGACCGAGCGGCCGTTGGAGCAGAGCTTGTCTCCCAAAGCATTCAAGGACACAGGATCAGAAGGTTTGGCTAACGATAATTTAATATTTCCACCGGATAAGGCTAATTCGTGGAAAAATATAGGACCGTCTGTGCCTCGTGATGACTCGAGTGACGGCATGGAGAACCAACGCGTATCTTCTGGAGACAATACCCCACGGCCGAATTCGCCCCCGCCAACTTCAATGTCGCTTCCCCTAGAGGAGGCACTCCTCTCGCTGCTTGGCATTCCCTTCGTGCCTCGGGCCGTCGAGCCCAGGTTTGAGAATGAGGAGAAGTCATCCACACAACCCTCTTCTGATATTGTACCGCACTCAAGTCGGAATGCCGTGCTGGTGATCGAATCCCCTCAGACCGTAGACTCAAGTGTAGACTCCGTCCCTCCACTTTCGGACACACCAGCACCGTCAGCACTTCATCCTAAAGCCATAACAAAACCATCTTCCGTGGAAACTCCTGCAAGATTGTCCGATGCGGAGGATGCCAAGCCGGCTGTAAACCCAACCCCGAAACCCCATACCGCAGAGCTATTGCCCGCTCCGTCAGCCAGTGAACACAAGCCAGACTTCACACATCCCTCTGCCGCACCTGACGTTGTCCCATCCCAACCCGTTCAACTTGGGCCGTCGGTACCCGGGACTAAGTCACCAAATTTACTGATGAAAGAATTGCCGGCCCCCCCTCCCACCAAGACTCAGTCAGCTTCAATTCAATGCGTACCCAGACCAACTAACATTGAAGAAAGTCTGGAACCTCGGGAGCATGAGGGTAAGAACGGATCCAAGAACATTCGCTCAGCGCATCCAGTATCCCAGGGGATTCCCGTCAAGGATTCAGTATCATCCGTGGCGAGCAACGCGCCCCTGCCGCCCGCTCCTCACCCAGCACCACCGGAAGCAAAGGCTATAGTAGGGCCTGGTATTGCTGGCAGTGGTTCTTCCACCTCGACCCCCGCTCAAGCGATCACACCTGTGTCAATTCTCAAAAATGCTAGTCGCATCGTCGGTGCATCCGAGCCTAGATATAGTCATCGGTATCAAGCTCCAGCAGCCACAGTTTCCATCTCTCCCCCAGCAGCTCCCAAGGCTTCAAATCATTCATTCAAATTTTGGCGCTCAAGTAGGAGTCGAACCCCCGCTCATCTCAACGCATTTCTTTCTGTTGGGTCGCTGCCTAATCTAAGCGCGCCGGTTGAAGATCCCGAACCCCTCAATGCCCTGGATGAGTTTTCCTCAACATTTTTCCCAATATCCCGGACTAGTAGCTTTGGATCATATCGTGATCCAGCGCCTCGTTACCGTGCCCCGAGCCCCCCCTTTTGGGAAGCATCGATATCTTCTGGGAAAAAAAGGTTGGAGGAGTTTGTTGCGGTCTCAATTCCACCTTCAAAACGAGGGACACCTTTCGCGTTCTTGTCGCGCAAGGGCCGGAAACGGGCTGTGTCGGTGACATCAGTTGAGGCAGCAATTGGAGGTTCACAGGTAAGTGAGCTCGGCTTGATCATGTTTTGGTGCTGATGAAGGATAGGTCATTGGCTCCGTGACCGATCGATACTCGAAAAGCATAGTGTCGGATGTGTATACCCCACCGCCTTCGCCTGAACCAGTCGAGAAAGTCGTTCTCGGCTGGCACCAATCATTGGCATCAAAACCGGATAACATCAAAGTTCGAAGACCTGGAGTAACTTGGGACACTGAGATAGAGGGACCGAGCAGCCCCATAGCAAGTCTGCCAGTTCTCGTTGCTCGAGACAACTGGCCGCCAAAGGCGGATAACGGTCAAGAAAGTGAGGATATCATCGGCCTCGATGTCAGGGGTATATAGCTGAGCATGCAGTAAATATACCCAAAAATCATGTTTCCCCATGAACACATAACTGCCTTCCAAATTTTGGTCATGATTTTGTTTGAATCCTACGAGTTTCTCCCATTACTTAAGATACACTGGGTATTGGAATCTGTGCTGAAGGTGTCCGTAAATGCAATGCCACGGGTGTCAAGATTACCATAACCATCCATGCCCGAAATCGTTCACTGTTTCAAAGCTTTGGGATACGGAGGGTTTTGCTGACCATAGCCGCCCCCCAAGCGACAAAGATCAAGCTCAGCGCATGAATTTCACCGCCCTCCCCTGAAGTCCCCCAGAGAGTGATAGTGCCCAAAGGCAAGCCTTTCTCCCCTTCTATCCATCCTTTTTTCGTCATGTACGCCATGAAGAATACAAGTCCAAGACTGGTGGGAATGGGCAAGCCTTCGAAGTATTGGGACTTGCCAGTGGCATCTTTGGGTACAAGAGCAACCGTAGCATTGAATCTCGCAAGACGCGCAAGTCCACTGCAGATGAACCCTGTGAGTACTATCGTATCGAGGAAGGTTCGGAAACCAATTGTGAATGCGAGCACGGATGGTGCTACACCGAAGGATATCTTCAACACAAAAGCATCAGGTAAGAAATGACGAGAGAAGGGAGCTGCACGCACTAAATCCGCCAAGCTATCCAACTCTTGACCCAAAAGGCTAGAGCTATTCCTCCATCGCGCCACCTTTCCGTCAAAAAAGTCGAACATGAGTCCAGCAAGAGGAAACGCATGTGCATGCCAAAGGTAACGAGTATCATTTGTGAGGAGGTATCGCGCGGACGAAAAGATAGATAAGGACCCGCAAAAGCCATTCATGACGGTGACAAGGTCAGCCAGGCGGAAATTGCTGGCAAAACACTCCACGATGAGTTCCACGTACAGACTTGAGAGCACGACTCACCGGACCATGGAGAAGTGACCTTCCGTGTTATCATACTGTTTAAGAGCACTAACATCTTTCGATGTGTCGTCACTAGAGGTTGTTCCACTAGCACGCGCTGTCGCCATTGCGATTGACAGTGACGATGTGACTTGATCGGCGAATAATGCACTGTCCGCCGGCAACTTGCATCCGTTACCCACGCTGCCGATTCTGATGAGCCATCTCACTGTTGAGTACCGCCAGCTTTCACTCTGTCTCGTCCATCCATTATATTCATGCTCGGCCTTCTTCACTGGGTGCCATTCATCGTCCGTGTAACCCACTAGTTTGTTAGAAACTCTCTATCGTCCATACATGCAGTTGAAAGAGTTTGGTACTGTAATGGGATCATGACCAAGGCAATATACCTGCTGAATGGGAAGGCCGAGCATAGCGAGTACGACCGTGCAAGTCAACTTTGACATCCCCAAGTGGGAGCAAACGGAGGGTTTGCAGCCTGCTCCATATATATCTAGACCCTATGTGCCCACCTTCGCCACAATGCAGCAGCGACGACGGTGACACCACAAAGAATTCCAGTACAAATCTCAAACGTGGGCTTCCAACACTGAGTGCCTCTGCAGATAGGGTCTGGACCAGGTTTGCGGGCACGATCCGAAAAGGAGGCGTAAAGGAAAGTGAATATGGGAGTCCCCAGGAATGGGGAGTAGGATATGGTGCCTAAACAATGTTCAGTAATTGGTACATGATTCCATTTGCCAAGTCTCCACACCAAAGTTGCGCGCCGCATTTCTGGAGCCCCAGATGAACTCAACGAGCGAAGGAACAACTGTCCTGATGGGAGAATATCCATCAGCGTGAATGGGGCAATTGCTTCGATCACAGTGGATTACCAGAGCATTCCGTATGCTGCTCCCGTACCCAGACTTACAACCCACAGTCCTTGTGGGGACGTTGTGCCAGCCGCCATCCAGCAGGATGCAGTGAGTAACACGGAACACGACAGCCACACGAACACTGCCCGACTCATTACTCGAGTTCTGTGAAAAATTAGTTCTCCAGTACTCTGCCTCTTGGCAGGGGTCGGGGACGCAATATCAGCAATCGATCCAGTGAGGAGCCTCGAGGCCGTGTTGGCGAGACTGATTAGGCGGACTTGTGGGCCAGCACTGAGCTGAGTTGCTTCTCCAGGATAATCAAACGATGCGACGATAGAGCCAATATTGGATATGACCATTTCAGACTGGAAAAAACGCGTAGGTGAGAATCCGTAGACTGAGGTGTTTGCGGCTCGACTGACCATGCCCATGCAAACTAGCATCACGATTCCCAGCAACCAAAATTCCAAGTCTTGAAGCAGAGAAAGTAGGCCCTCGCGTTGATGAACAAGGTCGCCCTCAGATGATCGGATGAGAGGTGTGTGCTCGTACGGCTGATCATCGTTCAGGGAATCGCTGCTTGGCGAGGATGCTGCACCCCGAGAGATCCCTTGGAGGCCCAAAGTGCCAGACAAATTCGCTAAGCCACAAAAACAGGCGAGGAAGTATAAATATTTCGGAGCATCCAGAACGTCATCTAGGTCGGCGAAAACAGCATTTCCAATTGAAGAAAGTAACAAAGGAGAAAGTCCGAACAAGGCTGTAACGATGCCAGTTGCTAGTCCAGAACGCTTTGGAAAGCCCTTGTGCAAGAAAGTTATTCAGCACTGGAAAGGATTGCATCAATATATGCGCCAGACCTTCGAGGCGCCAAATAAACATGAAAAATAACTGACGCAACGCACGTCAACTACGGGGGTGCTTGCGAGAGTAGCGACTTACGATGCCACGGTTCCTAATCCACACAGGAAAAAGCAGAACACTAGCAAGACGAAGATCGGAGTGGAGCAGGTATGGCTGGAACCAGCGTAGCGAATTGTCGAAGCGAACAATGAATATCCGACACCAAACAATCCGGATGCTGCCAAGGCGCACCTATTAGTGCAGAATTGGTTTGAGATAGATCTCTTTGGTCAAGGATTTGAGCTTACACCCACGGACCCTTGGTATCGATGACAATGCCCCAGAGGGAAGCAAACGGATATTGGCCCATCATTCCACTGGGGAGGATTATTAGTGAGTAATGGGACGACCATCACATTGGGAGACGCTCACGCAAGAGCGATGGTTGAAATCTGACGTTGGGTCAGCTGAAGATGAGAGGCCAACGACGGAGCGAAAAGTGGAAAGCAGAAAATTCCACCAGCGGAGATTCTGTCATTTCGCGTTAATCTCAGGCGAGCTTATGACGCAGGTATTTGGATCGTGAACGAACGCATTCAACGCCACGGAAATGCACAAAAATAAGGTTTTTGATGAAACTGTCATGAGGCGAGGTGAAAATGAACGGAAGCGGGGAACCAATCCATTCGCACGATGAAGGGCTGTTGAGTATATTTGTATTCCAAGTATCATTGCAGGCTCTTTTGTTTAACCACGCAAGTCTTGCGAGTGCACTTGATCTCAGGACCAACGCTCACTGACAACATGGTACAAAATGTGATTGAAACCCGGGGCACTAAATATATATGATGCACAAATGGTCACACATGGTAGCGGTTTCCGAATGAATGTTGCGGTGCCGCGTAAGGGTACCCGTCTGCATCACCATGAGTTGACACCGAGTGATAAGGTGTATTTGAGGCTGTATGACTCCAGTCCGCATTCGTCATAGCATGCGAAGCTGGATGATTTTGTGGTACTGGTGCAGAATGTAGACGCTTGCTTGGAGAGTCCCACGAATCCTCCTCGAGCTGAGTGCCATACCGACGAACAATGACAACAGCATCTGATCAAAAGTTGGGTCAAACTCAAAACTCAAAAGGTGCTGTGAAAAAGAAACTTACACAGGTTGATCAGCATGACGACTACAAATATCACAATCGAGAGGATCTTCACAGCAGGTCCTCCAATACAAGCATCGTCATTACTGTTATTTTTCTTCACACAAGTCTCTTTGGTATCATGCCAATGATGGACCAGTTGGATGATCCAGTTGATGCTGAAAACGAAAGAGGCGGATAGGTAAGTGCATCGTGGTTGTGCGCGATAAATGCCTACCCCAATGCGAGATGCAAGAGAAGCGAAACCAAAAGGAACGAAGCAAAGAAAGACACCAACGCTCGTTTCCGAGCTAGAGCTCCAATGAGCCCGAGTAGGGAGGCAATTGCAGAGATGGTCTCCACGACACCAACGATGATGAGTGCTATCTTCAATCGCCCAGTGAGGTTGACGTCTTTAACATCCTGGGGACCTGTCGGAGGGTTTACTGATTCTGGATCCCATCACTTGCACAGGACGGATTTGACTCACGAATGACGGCGTACCAGATAGACGCTGCTGTCAGAGCTGATATACCGAAACTTAGTAAGGCAACCACGAAAACCCCAAATCTAACGGGCTAAAAGACAGCGAAGACTATGAATGGCCAGGCAAAAACGGCGCAGCAAGCACTTACAATGCAACAACAGAAATGCTTCGTCATTTTGCTGGCGATCAACGCTCACGCGGAAGAGGGAGTAGGAAGGTTCAAACTCGAGAACTGGTTTGAAGTTATAGGAAGATCAAAAGCGGTGCACTTGTGCTCATGTGCCCTTCCATAACCGACGGGCACCGGAAAAATTCAGGGCAAAATCATTCCACCGACCATCATCCGGGGGGCTGTGAAAAATGATGCGATGAGGGGCTTTGAGTGCTTTGTTTGCTTGTTTGCATTATTCTGAATATTTATGAGTGCTACAAAGAAAACATGTTTGACGAATATATATGCACTCATCCTTAGCTTCGCCTGGACCCCCACACAAATTACGACAGGGACATTTGCGAATTACGGTAACGAACAAACCCTGGACGTGCCATCAAACTTGCAAGCGGCTTTTCGCCCTCAGATCAGAGGTTACTCGAGTACGAAAGAATATACCATGTTTGCCTCGATCCGACAGCTCAGGATGGTTCCAATATCGGATGAGACAATGTTGAACTGTGCTGTACGGATGAACGATAATACACAACATAACGGGACGCCCACAATCCGCTCTCCGACGCTCGCACACCATACATGTTTATTGGATATATCAACATTAGAGAAAACTGCAGGAACAATTGCATGTATGCCTGCTGGCTGACAGACAAGCGGACGAGAAAATAACAAGATTTTACGCGCGCAAGCCCAAGATGGCCATGCAGACATTACTAAGTTTCAGGACCAGCTGTAGCCGATGGTCAGACCTAATGCGGAACGCATAGGTGCCATGTCGAGCGACATCCTATGAAACCCAGGATCTTCTTGCACGAAGTTGACTCATGACCGACCACAAACGGCAGAGCCGTTCCAGCTACGGGCCTTGCGGCAACACATAGACACATGTCGGATACTCTAAGGATCGTGCGTGATTTCATGAAGGTGGGAGAGAAGAAGAGATGAAAATCGAGAAAGAAAACCGCTAACAAGAGTGATAAAACTGGGAGTAGACATTCACGAGTCGGACATATGCATGTTGAAGCGGTCCCATTGCCGCGTTTGAGCAGAAACACCCAGCAATGTCGAAGTTGCTGCAAGTTTCGAATTGCTTGAGAATCATCACTTTTTATACACTTTTGACGGGAATTCCCGTGGATCGCGTTACGAATCCCAAGTCACCACTTTCACTTGGGCTGTTCCGCGCGCCTTTACATCCCTTTCAACAATTTGTGACCCATCGGCATAATGGTCCGTGTATATGGAACGAAGGTGGAAGGCTATATCTGAAGAGAGTGTTCTTTCTAATAGGCTGACGGTCAAGGCTCGGACGTGATCGAGGCTAGGTCCGGAGTACCAGCACTCATGGAAGTTGACGACCCAATCACTATTCACGACCGTGCGTGCTTCTTTAGGGCTTGGGGAGGTAATATTAGGCAACTCATTCCGTGCCCTTAGATGAAGCGTTCGCTGCCAAGAACATGCCTGAACTGGGGCATGACGTTGAGGATTTCGCTCACTGTACTTGGAGACTAACGAAGTGGAAAAGCCTGGAGAAGAGGCTTACCGGTCCGGAATTTGAGTGCGGTGGTCATCGATGGTTAGTGCTGACAACTACCGTCCTGGGCCCAAACTGTCAGTCTGATACCGAGGCAGGCGCATATTGTTGTTTCCTGCTGGAAATTCGAACGCTCCTCCAAACGAATCGGTGTCAATATATCTGGACTATGCGGACCCAAAGTCATCAAATGACTGGCATGCCTGTGCACAATTTTCCCTCGTCATGTCTAACATTCACGATCCCAGTCTCTACGTTGTCAGTCGTAAGTGGATGTTTCAATGTTATCCAGGTTTCTAGGCATTTAGTCTGCACCGCTCAATCCGTAGATGCACACCATCGATTTGTCCCCGAAGAGTGTGACTGGGGTTTCACACGATTCCACGATCTTCGGAAACTCTACATCAGTCAGGAAGGACACAAACGACCCGTCATCGAGGAAGACAGCGCCGACGTCTCCGTTTTTGTCCGTGTGCTAAAAGATCCTACGGGTGTTTTATGGCATAATTTCGCTAAGTGGGTCTTTCAACCTGTGCCGCCGGTTGTTTCACAAGTTTAAGTTGCCCCTTTCCTTAGTTATGATTCGAAAAAAGAGACCGGATATGTTGGCCTGAAGAACCAGGGCGCAACATGCTACATGAATTCTCTGTTACAATCCCTTTACTGTACTCATTACTTCCGAAAAGTTGGTTTAGCTGCTGTCTCAAGTCGTGCTCCGAGGTTTCTCACCTGCATTCATCTCAGGCTGTCTATCAGATCCCTACCGAAAGCGATGTGCCTCATGAGAGCGTCGCGCTGGCGCTGCAACGTGTCTTCTACCACTTGCAGACGTCTGATCTCCCCGTTGGTACGCCCATCAACTCATTCACTCGCTGAACAATATTCCCACTCATTCGTTCCAACAGGCACGACCGAGTTGACGAGATCATTCGGTTGGAAGTCTTTAGATTCTTTTATGCAGCATGATGTCCAGGAGTTTAATCGAGTCCTCCAGGACAAATTGGAAATCAAGATGAAGGAAACAGACGCTGAAGGTGCTATCAACAAACTTTTTGTGGGGAAGATGAAGAGCTACATCAAGTGTGTTAACGTTGAGTTTGAGTCGGCGCGGACGGAAGAATTTTATGGTGCGTTGTTCTTTGGAGGCCTAACATTAAGTCACCGACGCCTTTCGGCATGGCAGATATCCAGCTGAATGTGAAAGGGATGAAAAACCTTCAAGAGTCTTTCCGGGATTATGTTGCTGTCGAAACACTTGAAGGCGACAACAAGTATCAAGCGGAAGGATTCGGATTACAGGATGCCAAGAAAGGGGTCATTTTCCAGTCATTCCCCCCCGTGTTGCACCTCCAACTTAAGCGATTCGAATATGATATCCAACGTGATGCGATGGTCAAGGTGACCTTCCTGTGATATTCCTTCCCCCCAGAGTTGAAACTGATTCCATCTTTCGAGATCAATGACCGACATGAATTCCCTTTCGAGATCGATCTCGGCGAGTTTCTCGATGAGAGTGCTGATCGCACAGAGTCGTACATATACAAGCTACATGGCGTCCTTGTGCACTCTGGCGATTTGCATGGCGGACACTACTTTGCGTTGATTAAGCCAGATCGGGACGCAAGGTGGCTGAAGTTTGACGATGATAGAGTTACCCCTGTCACGGATAAGGAAGTTTTGGAGGAGAATTATGGCGGTGAAGCCCTGAACGGGGTGTTGCCCCAGGTTCAACAGCGGAACCAAGCACGAAATGCTGTCAAACGGTTTACGAACGCGTACATGTTGGTTTACGTCCGCGAATCAGCTATGGACTGGGTTTTGTCGCCTTTCACCGAAGCTGATACACCACCGCACCTAAGTACGTCATTTTTTGCGCGACTTTAGACAACCATTTGGATTTGACGGCTTTAGAGCAACGACTCGATGAAGAGCGTGCTGCCCAGGAAGCCAAGAAACGGGAACGGGATGAACAGCATCTTTTCCTTACAGCTAAAGTCATCACCGACGAAACATTCCGTCGTCACCAAGGTTTTGATCTCGCCTCGTTTGATGACCGCGTGTGGCCGCCGTCAGAACTTCCTACATTCCGAGTCCTGAAAACAGAGTCGTACCTTCAGTTCAAGTCTCGAGTAGCAGAGCATTTCCACTTCCAGGAGAGTCAAATTCGACTTTGGGTTCTGGTGAATCGTCAAAACAAGACCGTGCGACCCGATACTCCAATACCTGAAAACGAACACGGGTTAAGTAAGTTTTGATACCCAGTTCCTGGAAACAAGTTTTTCAACCAGAACCCTAGATATTGAGCTTGTTCGTAACAACATGGCTGCACGGCAAGCGGACCTGAAACTATACCTCGACGTTGTTGACGATGATTATAGCGCCAATAAGGTATCGTATGTGATTCTTTATAGGATATGACCTTACTTCGTTCCGACAGAGCCTGGACAGTAATGCCGTGATGATCTTTCTGAAGCATTTCAGTGTCAACGACCAGACACTAAAAGGCATTGGGAAGGTTTATGTGCATCGAAATAGCAAAGTGGGCGATATGGTGCCAACCATCAATGAGATGATGGGTTGGGCGGGTTCCACTCCCGTCAGGCTGTATGAAGTCAGTGAATGTTCTCTCGGTCATCATTGGGAGAACTCATTGGGCCTCAGGAAATCAAACCAGGAATGATAGAGCTCATGAAGCCCAAAATGACTTTCGCGCAGAGTGAGATCCAAGATGGCGACATACTTTGTTTCCAGGTCGAAATACCGGAACGAGAGTAGGCTTCTTGTTAGTTTTTCCCCCGGCGTGACTTAACCAGCACTTCTAGGGTACACGACCTGGAGTCACAAGGGTTGTACCCAAGTCCGGTTCAATATTATGATTTCTTGCAGAACCGGGTCCTTGTCCACTTCAAACCGAGGTTCGAGGACCAAGATAAGGAAGAATTCAATCTTGTGTTGAGTAGAAAAACGAACTATGATACGGTATCATTGTTATTGCACTCTAGGTGGTGGTCGTCTTACTGTACCCTTTAGATGTCAACTAAAGTAGCAGAACACCTCAACCACGAGCCCCTTAAACTCCGATTCACCTCTTCGAACCCCAACGGGACCCCAAAATCTATCTTGAAAAGATCGTTGAACCAAATGATATCCGACGTTATGGGACCCGTCAATCACAATTCCTCGCCATCTGTAGTAATCTTCTATGAGCGCCTGGAGATAAGTATCATAGAGCTTGAGACCAAACGAAGTCTCAAGATCATATGGACTGGCATTAACAACAAAGAAGAGGTATTGCGGAGGTGTCAATTGCTCTCACAAAATTGACTGACCATTCGGTTTGAAGGCCACATTCCCATTCCTCCTACCAAAGAACAACGTAGTTCACGATCTCATTGGCCATATTAACCGCCAGGTCACTCTTAATCCTAGTGGTTCCAATAAAATTCGTGTATTCGACATCTCGAGGGATGGACGGCGACAGAGAGAACTGACTGGGACAGAACTGTTAGGCACTCTCAGCGATACTGAGTTCTATGCGGAGGTGAGAAAGATCCAATCCAAATAACAATTCGTCTCAAACTTAGCCCACGATGTAGGAAATTCCATTAGATGAACTCGAGTCCAGGGACGCAGAAAAGATCATCGACGTCTTTCATTTCACCAAGGAAACGTCAAGAACGCATGGCGTCCCGTTTCGCTTTGTTCTTCGACAAGTACGTCGTCCAATGCCAGCCGTTTTCACGCTGATGCGAAGAAATTACAGAGTGAGAGGTTTTCGGACACGAAGAGGCGGCTTCAGGCACGCATGGGTGTCAGTGACAGCACCATAGCAAAGTACCGATTTGCCTTGGTGCAAACGTCTCATTTCAAGCAGCCGTCGTACATTGCTGACGGTATGTCCTGATGCCATTGGTGCCGCCGAGGCTTGCATCCTAATTGTCTTCCAACAGAGGACATTGTGTATGATCACAAGTGGCTGCCTGACGATGCGCTAGGTCTCGATCACGTTGACAAGTCTGGCAGGGCAGGCCGAACTGGTGTCAATGAGCGGGCTATTGTCATCAAAGGGTGAGCTGTCCCCGCGATGATCTCTAGTATTCACTCTGCTCTTCGAAAGTTTGGGATTTTGCATGATTGTGCCGAACTTCCTTTCTTATACTATACAGCGCCATTTTATCTTTCTATGGCTCGAATGCTCGCAGTTACTTTTTTTACGTTGTATCAGCTCTTAACATTGCCCATATTCTACTTCGTAACTTGATGGAAATGCAGGCAAACATGACTGATTCAATTAAGTTGAAAAGGTAGAGGGACAAGGACCTAAGCTACTTTCGCCCGCGCTTCTTCTTTGACGGCTGCTGTATTGTGTAAGTTGAGATGTTGTCACGCAGCACGGTGAAATGGAATAGGCACATACCTTAGCTGAAGAAGGGGTAGCGGGGGATGGAGAGCCTTGCGGCAGAGGCGATGCCGTGTTGGCAGGAGATGATTGGTTTGAGGCCTGCGAAGGTGAAAGTTCTTGGGGGGCAGATCTGGCACCTTGCTTTGTGGTTAGCCGTCCATTGTTTTGGGAGGGGCTATTAGTAGAGGTGGGTTCATGCTCGACGAGGGTAGTGACAATAGTCGGACCCTTTGTTGGACCGTTAAGAGTATTCGCGGACTTCCCAAGGGTTTCATCTGAGGATGGGTTAAAACAACGAGAAGGAATGCGGGGAGCGACGTCTTGCCTATTTCAGCCCTCTTTTGGGGTATATTCATGAATACCTCCCGGTATTTTTCATTTTGCACAATCTCGCTTGCGCTCTGGAATATGAAACTCCCCCATCCGTCCAGGTATGAATTCGCCTCAGTGACGACCTCATATATTTCTGCCTCTAATTCTTTCTCGGCAGCTAGGAAGCTGTTCCAAAGGTCATCTCCTATGGATCCCTTTACTAACAAGTTGTTAAGGGCCGCCTTGTCCTCTTTAATCCGGAATGCGCGTGACACGTCTGCCACCGCACGACGGAGGAGTGCAGCTTTTAGAAGTCCGTCGCTAGCTGGTGGATCTGTTTTCTGGAGGAGGGTTATGTACGTGTCCCTATCAGGGTGCGAAGGGAACCACGGTTCATATTTCTGAGCTAGGATTGAGTGATGTGTGGCGTGCAACGTCAACAAATGCAGGACGTTCAACCCATTAACTACACACCAGCTTGCCGTCGCCTGTAGATTTTGGAAAAGAGACCAAGGCCCCCCACAACGACGGCTATAAAAATAAAAGGGACATACACCGGGATCATGGAGAAAGTAGAGTCGTTAGCTTATTGGGCTGGATTATGATATGCTGACGAGGGATGAGGTGGCAGTGCGATATTTGTCTTATTTAGTTTATTTCCGGTCCCACACTCACAATTAACGGTGCCAAGTGTCTTGCGTCTGTCTCTAACGTGGGTGTTTGGAGTTGATCTGTACTCTACACGCACCCTAACTTACCCAATAATTCCCTCTATTCAGTGTCATGCCACCCTTAATTGTCGCTGCCCGACATGCGATAAAGTGTTCCGCTTTGAGAACCTCCTACAGGACTCGATATGCATCATCGCTGGTACATCCTGATGTTTCGGACATTTATGTAGTGTGCTCATTATAACCCCAGTCTCTGAAAGAGACCCTCGCTGAGATTATACCTGCCAAACGAGAGCAACTGGCACGGGTTGTAAGCTTTTAAATGTCCACATGCGCCGTTCGTGATTGATAGGCTTTTATTCAGCGGAAGGAATATGGCCAAACAGTGCTGGGAGACATCAAAGTTGGTGGCAGTAATGCTTCTGTTTGAAATATGATACTAGAGCTAAAATACTTCTCAAGGTCGAGAATGTTATTGGAGGCATGAGAGGACTGAAGGCCCTCCTCTGGGAAGGTTCACTTCTTGACCCTAATGAGGTTAGGGCTTCTATTTGCATCACTGTACACACGTAGAGGCCAATATCTCATTAGGGCATCCGCTTCCATGGTCTTTCTATCCCTGAAGTTCAGAAGGTACTCCCAGCAGCCCGGGGCGGGAAAGAGATTATAGCGGAGAGCATGTTTTGGTTGCTCATAACAGGAAAGGGTAAACGCATGGAGACATCCTCGATGAACTTCATCCAATTGGTTCTCCGACAGTACCCACCGAAGAGCAGACTCGTAGATTGTCACAGCAACTAGCAGAAAATGGGGCTCTGCCTCAATACGTCAAAGATATTTTGGATGCGTGAGTCTGTTTCCTTTCTCAGCGAATACACTGAATAGAACCCAATTTTCAAGGTTTCCCCGGACGCTTCATCCTATGACCCAGCTGGGAATGGGGGTCGCGGCACTCAATCATGACTCCAGATTTGTAAAGGCCTATGATAGGGGTGTGTTGAAGTCTGAGTATTGGACCTACGCCTTGGAGGACTCCTTGGACCTTTTGGCCAAACTACCGAGTCTCGCCGCCAGGATCTACAGGAACGTCCATCGTCCGGATCTTAAACTACCCGACTTGGATAAAAACCAGGACCTTGTTGGTGCGCAAGCAAGCTTAGTTCAGCACACCCTTCTTAGTGGAGCGGTCGGACAGGGAACTATGCCACGCTTCTCGGCTATGGGGACAACGACGGCATGAAAGAATATTTAAGGCTTTATATTGCCCTTCATGGGGACCACGAAGGTGATGTGTCATCTGATGATCAAAAGTCTGACATATGCACCTCTGACATTTCCCTACTGTAGGTGGCAATGTTTCTGCGCACACCTCTCGTAGGCTCAGGATTTAATATGGCACGACTGAGCGACGCTGACTAATTATGTCAAGATCTGGTAGCGTCTGCTCTAAGCGATCCTTATATTTCATACTCTGCCGCTCTGTTTGGTCTCGCAGGACCACTTCACGGGTAGGCACCTGGATTCCTCGACTTTCTCAAATGCAAACACTTAGCCCTCATAGGCTGGCGAACCAGGAGGTTTTGAGATGGATACTTTCCATGAAGGACGCTGTTGGAGAGAACGCCTCTAATGAACAGATCAAAGACTATCTGTGGTCCACTCTCAAGAGTGGCAGAGTTATTCCAGGGTATGTTAGGTGCAAATCCTTAGTCCTCGACCTCGTCGTCCTCACTTGATCCGATAGTTATGGCCACGGTGTATTGCGCGATCCTGATCCTCGTTTTATTGCTCTTCAGAATTTCTGCGAAGTTCGCCCGGAGCTTCAAGATAGTCCTATTATCCAACTTGTCAAGAAAACCAGCGAGGTTGCTCCCGGCGTCCTAAGGCAACATGGAAAAGTAGGTTGAACAGTGCTTCATTGGGGGATTTGGACGTATTCCGACCTTTCGACGCAGACGAAAAATCCCAATCCAAACGTGGATGCCACGTCGGGTAAGCGCTGGCCAAGGAACTTTTAGGTGTATTCACTGCTCACATCGATTTTCACGAAGGGTGTTTGCTCTATCATTATGGCCTCACTGAATTCAATTACTACACCGTGATTTTTGGCGTTTCTAGAGGTTTGTCGACTATTCTTACGCGTACCCGACTGTACAAAATGAACCTCCGTATTTTCATAGCATTGGGTTGTCTCGCTCAGATTGTGTGGTCCCGAGGTAAGTGCAAGACAGCGTCGACCGAAGTAGTATTGCTGAACCCGAGACTGTAGCTCTCGGCCTTCCTATTGAGCGACCAAAGTGTAAGCGACTAATCTTCTGAAGACTGAGTGGCAAACTAATTACTGGCTGCAGCTATCACGCTCGGAGCGATCGAGGAGTTTGCAATAAAAGCGTAAAAATCGCTTTCATCTTAGTCCTAAACTCGTTTGACTAGGGAGCGTAGAGTTGTAGACTAATAGAACTGCAGACGTTGTCTTGCATGACGCAAGTTGGTCGGGCAAATGCAAAGCCATTATCTAAAGCAAGTGCACGAAGGAAACGACATCAACAGATCATTTAAAAGCTTCAATGTGTGGAATGAGTTGTCATCTCCCAATTTAAGCAACAAAGTGGCCACTACAAGAGTGAGGATCCCCCATTCTAACGAAACCCCCAAATGAATACACCAGCGTCTCCATTCGAAGTAATACGCCACACAGTCTTAATCCTCTTCGAATCCCGAAACATTTTCCCGTTGAACACTGCAGAATAGAAAGCCTCGTTAGTCTTCTATCCTATCCTATCTAAAAACAAGAATGGGAACTACTTACTAGTCATACACCACAACTAACTCACCTTCGACAGAAGGCCTATCGCTAAAAATAGGTGCTGCCAACAAGCACGGATTTCGAAGTTTTATTTTCTTCGGCAGGTCGTCGTTCATCGGTATACGAATGTCCCGTGAACCAAAGGTAACATAATCTACAAAGAAATGGACATTCACGATTGATAAACAAGTTCCTGGAAAAAAAAAAACACACCACCTTGACACTACCCCCAAATCCATTCCTCTTTCTCAGCCACTTCGCCAAAGCCTTCCTTCCTGCCAAATCGTATCATAAGGTCTAAAGTTCCCCAACTCACTCGCATCCTCAGGAAACATCCTCTCCTTGCATCCCTTCTTGTGAACTGCTTCACATGCATCCCAACGGGAACCAGGCAAGAACGCGTTGAAATCCCAGAAGAGATCGGCGAAGGCCGAGGACATGTTGTCCAGTTCTGACGGACAAATCCCCGCTTCACCCGAAACAGGATCAAAATCGATCTCAAACTTCGCACAAAACTCCCTAATCTTCCTATCCCCTTCATTGTCCAACGCCTGATTAACATCATCACTTGTCTGCCTCCCAACCAAATGCTCCGAAAGCCTTCCCTTGAGGAGGTTCCAAGTTCGTCTTTAGTTCGTTCGAAGCGGTCAGAGCGTGTGAAGGATCCTAAAGTCGATAAGCGAGCCTAGATGATCGAGAACTCGGCTAAAGGAATCACTGGACCAAATTTATACAATCGGGGAGTGTAAATACAAGATCTCCATCCTGGGTCTCTGAGGTTTATATATTGATGAGGCTGACACGGTTTCTCTAGAGCCAACACGTCGAGTGCAAGCTCGCGCTTACGCAATAGCCTCACCAAATATATGAACCTCAGAGACCTCATAGCTAGTAGGGATAGAGATCCTCTTGTGTGCAACGGGTGACTCAAGCAGCAAGGTAGCGTGGCGGCGACCCGACGAAAGTCGAAGCCACCGAAGACGTAAATACACGGGATCCAACACACTACTTACATTCGGGAATAAACGGTTGAATTATTAACGAAAAACAAAGCGTCAGAAAGAAGAGAGGCAGAAAATAAACCGGAGAAAAAGGGCAAACGGCGGATGCCAGAAAGGACAGCGGACGCAAAATGCTGAAGCGAATGCGCTGGTCAGCACGAAGAGGCACAGAGGCTGGAGCGCAGGTGAGCGCGAAGGCACGGAGGGTCCAGCAGGACGCGAGCAAAGAAAAGAACGGACCCCAAAATAAAGACGACCAAAAAAATACCATGAGATGATAAGAGATACAAAGGTCAGAGAGAATTCAGGTGTGCGGCGGATACGAGGAAAACTGGAGCGCCTCGACCCGGGGCACACAAGTCTCATTTAATCTCGTTCCTCCATTAAATCCCACTTCCTAATGGTGTAAATCGGCCTAAGTGTCATATATATACATTAGTCATTAGTTTTTGTTTCATCCGTTTCCACCTGTCATATATAGCCCCCCCAGGAGTGAAACTTTAAGAACGAGTCGAATATCAAGCTGAAACTGTCTCGAAGTACACAATTAAGCCAGGCAGATGATATTTACATCTATGCGGCCATAACTGAGTGCAAACAGTGCATAAAAATCCTCGTTTTGTTTTTCTCTTTGCAGAATCACCTAGAGAGCACAAAAATTGGGAAGACAGTGACTTTTGTATATCTCCTTACATAAACGATTCAGAGGAATGTGTCCGTAGCTTCCTACATACCGAGAAAGTCATTTCTCATTTCCTCGAAAATCCCTCTGAAGGGTCTTCAGTACACATTGTGTTGAGTAACCTTCAATATTGAGCTTTCATGCCATATGTGATGTGTGGTGAGAAAAAGAGTAAAAGATTTTTGGGCTGCCCATTTGCCTTCCGCTTACATAAGCAAGGTCACCCAATGCGACAGGGAATGATGACTGCCACACCTGATTCCTGCGAAATCCCTAACACCAGATTCGAAAAGAGTTGTATCCGAGAATTGCTATTCATCTGTTTTGACCTAGCCTGAGGTTTGAAGTGACCTTGCAAGCAATGTAACTAAAAATTCACATATGTATTCGATCCAACCGCAATCTTAATTTCGAGGCCAGATATGCCCTAGACATATTTGCCAAATCGCGGCTCGAATTCCGAAGGGGGAGATCACATAGTAGGTAAGGACACTAGCGCCGCAAAGTCATCATGAAGCGCCTGCAAACGATTCGGACGAGAACTCGAGCGGTGCGTGTGATTCTCCCCGACATTCAGGTACGGCTGTCAATCCGGAATTAACTATTCCAGATATCCGGGCAGCTAGGATACTTCAGACGAACAAGCTAAAGCTGGGCCTTCTCTACCCCGGATGGCCGTGCTTTCCCTTCTTGCCGGACCCATGACGATGTTCCTGACAAGCGCAACATTGTCCTTTCTCGTGAAAATGCATTAGCTTACCTCTGACATAACGAGTCCCTCGAGCACTCTGGCGGTGGCGACCACAAAAAAGAGTGGAAAATAGTTGTCCATGAGGGTTTTGAAATTATCACACAAAAATCCTGATCAAATTTCTTCAATTCCACGTCTACCCGACTATATCGTCTACACCGAATGGATTCACAAGACGTTTTACCCGATGACCGTGAAGGAGGAGATCGAGTGTCGACGAGAGTCGGATCACTTTGAAGGGTTGGAAGTTAGAGGTCCATCTCGTTAAGACGTTACCTTACTTGCCTCTGTCTGGCGGGGCATTCTTCGATTGTCCAAAGTCGCCTTGTAGAAGTCAACAATCTTCCAGCGAAGAAAGTTATTTCATGTGGTGGATGCCGTGTTGGATCCTAGGTCTAAGAAGGACAGGGAAAGGAAGGACAAAAAAGGTTGGGGCAATTGGGAGGAATGGTTGCAGAAGTGGGCGGAGGATGGGAAAATGATTGAAGCGGAGGATTATCTTCTTCTTGATGTAGGAAGCGACCGAGCTGCTTCCTTGTACCCCTTCTCGCTTTTCTCTTCAACACCGTTTTGCCTTGAACGGGAGTGTTTTTCGCTTCTCATCCCGCAAAGATCCAGTGTTTGCCATCACATGTATCGATACAGACTCGTACCCAGTCGGAGGAGCTCCGCGCGCAAAATAATAGCTCTTTATGTAATGTTCTCACGTTCTGTACTCAATACAAAAGGTCACATGCTACGGAGTTAAACACATAGCCGATCACCTACTCCGGAAATTTGGACGCGACACTTCGCTCCTCCGACTGGGGCAAAATGTAGTATGGCTGTGCTCCGGCACTGTCCGGCCTCTGTCTTCCCACGGCAAACAAGCTCGCTTCAAGGCTCTAATCATCACACCCCTCCCCAAGCCACCACAGAAAAAATCCAAAACAAATGTAGTAGTTACCCCCACCCAAAATTAACCCAGCCCAACCCGATTCATCTGCTTCTTGCTCATATGTGCTAAAATTATGTTGGAATCTTGTATCGCACACTCAGCACTTTGTCATTACTGAGCCCAGTCAAGGGAAAAACATGGTAGAACTACCTGGTCATAGTCCAATCCTACTCTGGTGTTGATCACTACAGTATCCTCACCCCAAGAAGTTGGCCGATGAGGTGAAAAAGAATATTATTTTGAGCGCGCAATACAAGATTCCAACATAATTTTAGCACATATGAGCAAGAAGCAGATGAATCGGGTTGGGCTGGGTTAATTTTGGGTGGGGGTAACTACTACATTTGTTTTGGATTTTTTCTGTGGTGGCTTGGGGAGGGGTGTGATGATTAGAGCCTTGAAGCGAGCTTGTTTGCCGTGGGAAGACAGAGGCCGGACAGTGCCGGAGCACAGCCATACTACATTTTTTTTTTTTTTTTTTTTGGTGGAACCCCAGTAGCTTTCGCGATACATTTTCATGTATTTGGGGTTTGTATAGGGAGGTAGGTCCCGTGGAGTAGATAGGTTAGTGGGAGTGTTGGACTGCCACCGCGGGGAAATGCGTTACGCACTGGCCGGGTGTCGGCACTGTGTGGGACTCCCAGACCCGGGGGGGTCCGGTATACCCACTAAAACCCCGGTGCTGTTGAGCCAGTTGTCCGGTAGTATGTCTTCGTTGTGAAGGTTCCCACTCCAGGTAAGCAGGACTGTTTTGGCCAGCAGGGCTTTCCGGCCGTACTTCTTACGGTTTGTGAGGGCAATGTCTTGCTGGAGCTTGTCGTTGAGGCCGGCTTTCAGGGCATTTCTTACTTCTCTTAGTGAGGTTTGTGGGTGATCGGCATCTATAACTCTGCGGCATCTGGTCTTCCAGACTTGCCATGCACATTCTAGGACTACGATTCGGTACAGTCTGGTTTCGCCCATCCTTACTTTACCGTTGGTGTTCATTATCTTGGTTAGTGGGGCGGCCATTATGTGTGAGGTGTTTAGGTTGTTAGGCCATTCTATTTTCCGGCGATTGCATATCGCCTTGGCTGTGGACCAAACCCAGGCGCCGTGATTGAGGGGACATTCAAAGAGTATGTGTGTCATTGATTCTGTTTGTTGGCACCCATTGCATTCACCGCGGTGTTCGAAGCATAGGATTTTATTCCAGTAGTCGCCGATCTTGAGGCAGTTATGGGTTAGTTTCCATACAAAGTTGCGGATTTCGGGGGAGACATCTTTACGGTTTTTCCCTAGGTTCTCCCAGATCTTGTTTTGTGTGGGGGAGTCATTGTTCATACTTGCCAGGGTCGTTTGGATT